AACAACGGAGGCAAAGACCAGTCCCTGCAGCAATCCACGATGTCTGAAAAAGGACAAGCAGAACAAGGCAGTGACACATGCAGAAGAATTTGGCTGCTCTATGAGGAAGTTTGCAGAGGCTGACTCAAATAGCATGAAAACATTAGTTCCACCAAGAGTCCTGTCCTCCTATGCTTACTTATATGTGTGTACATGCGCGTGTGCTTGTATAAAGTTAGCAAAACCTTTCTTTGAAAAGAAATTTTGGATTCTGGTGCTTATAAGCATGGTGGTAAATTGGAAAGACATGTTCAGTAAACAGTGGGAGCAGACCTTTCTCATGTGGCAGCTGTTCACAGTGAACAGCTGAAATAATTCAGCAGTCTTGCACCGCTCACTGGAAGAAAAGGTGCGTGCCCCATGAACAGGATCCCTTGGCAGCACAAGGCAATCAGCATTCACTCGTCACCCTTGTAGGCAGTTTCAGCTGTTTTACACAAATCAGCAAGTATATATTTCTCCCAGTGCATGGCCACCCTTAAAATGCTGATCAGCCTTGTCACTGAGCTGAGTATTTTGCTACCCTGACAAGGCTCCTCTATTTCATCTTCAAGGCTAGAACCGGTGCTTGTGCAAAACGACCTTGTTTTCAGACCTAGAGCTACCTCCCACAAATGAGCCTGGCATGACCTGAAGAATGAAACATTGCAGCAGGAAATACATATTAATGCTTCCTGCTCTGTATCTATGCTTCTTGTCTTGGCACTTTGTGAGTAAATTCATTAAAAACAAAGCAAGCACAGCCAGGCTGGGCAAGCTTCCCATGTACAGAAATATGGTGTGGAGGGGCTCAGTTTGATGTTAAACCCAAACTTACTATTTTAGGCATTAGCTGTTCATTTTGGTGCTGAAATGGAAGCATCTGCATTTAAAACCAGAGCTCAGAGAGTGGAGAGGCATGCTCATTTCCTCCAGCTCAGTGGTGGAGACATTCTTACTTATTTGCTGTAGATCAGTGGTGGAATCAGGTGAGAATTTATTTTACTGTGTCTGTGTTTTTTTTTCCTCCAGGTGTTTTCTCTATGTTAACTGTAGCTGCCATCTTCCTTATTACTGGTACTGATGCTAATAATTAGTGCTATAATACCAGAGTCCTATAACATCCCCATCTAGAATATGTAAAATTGATGCATCATTATTCATGACCAGAAATGTGAGTTTCTAAACCACTCTTCTCCTCTGTCTTGCTTTTTAATACTCTCTCTGCAGTTTTCTTTTCAAAGGCGCAAAAACCCCAATGAAGTCCCACTGGAATGGCAAAAGTAAGGGGTTTCACAGATTTGCTGAAAATTTGTGGCTTCAAGTGTGACAATTTGCTGATGGATTTCGATTGATGTCCCTTGGGATGTGTATCTGAATAAAGCCAAGCTTTGTACTTCCCTCCAGGGAAGCCTCTGCCTTCCTCTGCTTCCTCTGTTTTCAAGATATTAAAGCACCAGTTTCAAAACAGAAAATTCAGGAAGCCAATTGAATGGCCATGAGATATTATCAGCTTCTGGTTATAAATGAGCCTTTAACGGAGCAAAATGCTGTCGCTGACTTGCAGCAGCTGCCTGCTTGGTCCGAATCCAGTTTCAGGTGCTACATGCGTAAGCTGGGGCTGAGAGGCCTCTGCTGGACTATGAGCATGGCCAGAATAAAACCCCAGACTTTCTGAGGGACTTTTTCCCAAACGAGCCTTGGCTATGCATACGGCTTTCCTTGACCCTCAGCTGTATTTGCCTTTGGAGATAAGTGACTTTGAAACGCTGTCACCAGAGCCCAGGGGAGCAGTTTTTGTGATTTTCTCTTCCTTATTTTACACCAGCAGAGGAGCAAAATTGCAATCTGAGCCTGGAGGAGACTGAGGCACCTGGGTTTTGACTTGTCACATGAAGCTTTCCTGCATGAGTTACACACCACAGAGCATTTAAAGAAAGTAATTTTTCCTGGGCATCCTGAAGTGTCCCAGGGCACATGCAGCACTCGGGAGCCCTTAGCCTGCTAAATTCAGCTGTCCCTCCTCCCAACAAACTTCCAAAATCTTTTCCAACACACTGGCATTCCCAGGCATTACGCTGGCATGACTTTGTGTTCCCTTGCAGCGCTTTCCTCTCGCTCCACAGGCCTACACCAAAATCCGATTGCAGTGGATCCTACCAGTATGGTTGAAGCAGTCCCTAGTCAGCAGCCCCACGGTTCTCTCTGTTTGCAGGGCTTATCTTCATTCTCATCTTTCTATACAGACAGCATCAGAACACTAACACACCAGCTCCTCCTACAATTGCAATGCATTTTTGGTTGATTTAGTTACTGTGCTGTCAGCATGTCCTCACGCTTAATCTGTGTCATTAATTCCTTCCTTGCTACTGGCTTCAGAAAGCATTAACAAGGGAAAAATAAATCAAGAGTCAGAGCACAAAGAAGACTTGTGGGAAAAAGCTTTTGAGTCTTTTCTGAAGCTTTCATGCCTGTTATTCTTTACTTTGCTGATACAGCTGGATTTACCATCCTGTTGAATGAGCATATTCCAGACTATAAAAAAATAACAAAGTAAACCCACGTGCTCTTTGTATAGGTCAGAACTGGAGATGGGTTGCCAGATATAACAGCATAGGACAACTTCATAGCAGTAGAATAAAATGTGCAAACACAGGCAAAGTTGAGCTTATGCTATGTTCCTCAAAACAAAGCGGAAACAAAAACTGAGACGTAACAGAAAAGAGAGTGTGAGGACATCTGTGCGTGGGAGCATGTGTGTGTGTGTGTGCCTGAACTCGGCCGTGTTTGGGAGCACACATCTGTCTCCCAGCTGGGTGAAGATGTTTGTGTGAACATGTCGGAGTACATCCGTGCACGTTGTGTGGGAATGTGGAGTGGCCTCTCCTGTTCAGGGTGATGGGAAGCCTGTGAAAAGAGCTCACCCGAGTCAGTTTTGGAGTCTTAAATTAATGTTTTGGGGCATTGGTGCTCTCATGTCACCAACCTTAGTCTCATCTATACAGTCAAGGTGTCCATTGGATCCCTTCAAGGAAGACACATCTCTTAACAATTTCCGTCATTGCTACAGCAGGATTTCTCACCATGGTGGAGCAGGGGTACGTTTATGCCTGAGAAGTTCATGCCCTGCTTCATGCTTATATTGTGCTTTGTATTTTCAAAGTGCAGTGCAAAGTTTTCTTTGTCCTTTTATCCTCTTTTTTCACATAATCCATGAGAAACTAGACTATATAGTTCAAGAGATCAGAGAACTCACACCAAGAATGTTCTACCCCCACGCAGTTCCCCACATGGTGGCTAGCTCCAAATGACCCCGAACATCTGAAACTACACTCAGAAATATGGAAAATAAAGTTTTGAGAATGCAATTTGAGCTCACAGAGCTGAGGATCTCTGCATACTTGGTTATGGAAATAACCGTGAATGATGCAGCACCGAAGAGGCCGACGCAAATGGGGACAGGTGGGGCCGGGTGTGCAGGAGGTGAAACCCCCAGTAAACTGCTGCCTGGTGAAGACTTCAAGAGCAGGTTTCACAAAGATGCAGCCTTTTTCATTTCAAAGTCCCCCTAAAAAGAGTTAGAAGAAGATCTGGCCCCAGAGGAATCAGTGACCAAGCTCCTGTAGATATCGAGAGGATGGGATGTGTTTTCACACACCGGTGTCTTTTTGAGGTTAAAGACCAAGAAGCAGCAGGGAGACTTCCTAGCCTGTGTGTAGCGCCAGGGAACTCAGCAGAGCTCCCACGTCTTATGTCGGCTGAGAAATTGCCCCATTCGCTTGACCTGGTCTCTCCGTAGCTTTCTGTTCGCTTCCTGCGCATAAACATTGACACGCTGCAGCTTTAGTTGTAATCGCAATGTTTTCAGAACAACCAGGCAAACAAAATGCTGGTTGCGATGTACGTTGTCTCCAACCTCAAAGTATTTTCCCAGCTCTTCCTTTCATGCTTCAGGGCTGTGTTTCCAGGATCAGAGGTTCAAGTGTAGGCAGGTGTTCAAAGCATAGGATCCATCCTGCAATTTCCAGGGCACGTACTGGATGTTTGGGTTAACTTGGTGAGCATTGAACTGTACCTTCAGTGGGTATCCTCGCTGGTTTGGGGTTAGGCGGTGGGTTGGCCAGTGATGAAAATCACCCTGCTTCCAGGCAACGTGGGGTTTTGTGGGAATTTGGTGAAAAATACAATGATTGTACTCCATCCCTGGGAGTGAGGGACAATCACAAAGGCAATTTCGAAGCCCAGGGGGATGAAAGGAAACTCACACCTCAAAGATGTATTTGAACTCATATTTACAGTGGACATGCTGGTTAGATGTTCGAAGTAGGCGTTCTCCCAGAAATTTTACCTCAGCTCAGCAGCTGCGTGAAATACCACTTAAAAAACCAAATCATCATCATCATTCCTTCCCCACTACCAAGGTAAAAAAGCAGCTGTCTGCCATCGCCTCACAGCACCCGCCGGTCCCTTCAGCTCTCCACCACCTCATGTCTGTGCAACTGGCCCAGACAAACCCCCTTTCCAAAACTCTGCAGCTGAAAATGAAAACACTTGCACAGCCCCCCAATCCCTGAGGTAGTTATTCAGCCCGTGGTTCATTTTTATTTCTGCGCAGCACCTCTCCCAGGCCTGGCTCACACCTTCAGGTGACCCCTAAGCCCTTTGCTTCTCCGGGAGGGGCCATTTTGTGTGAGGTGGGGGGCCATTTTGCGGGTTCAACGGTCCCCTCAGGGCAGGAATAAATAGCAGCACGCGTCAAATGGGGGTCTGGACTCTGAGGTGGGTGACAGGCGGTGTGTGGAGCCGCGTTAAAGCCTCTCCCCGGCCCGGTGGGGCTCACAGGGCCTGGCCGGGGCAGCCCCTGTCCGCCGCACTCCCTCAGCCCCACGGGAGGGAAGGCAGCAGGCCGATACCGGCCGCGACGAGTCCGCCCGACCTGCAGAGGGACCCCGCGGTTACGGCCGTTCGGGCAGGAGGCGGGCCGCGGCCTGGAAGTGCCGGGCCGAAGTGGGCTCCGCTGCCCGCCCAGCGGTGCGCCCTGGGCGGCTAGGGCGGTGCGGCGAGCGCGGTGCTTCCCGCGCGGCCTAGCGCGGCCTTTCAGCCATGGGGAAGAAGGGAAAGCGGGAGAAGAAAGGGAAGGGGGCCGAGAAGACCGCCGCGAAGATGGAGAGGAAGGTGTCCCGCAGAGCCAAGAAGGAGGAGGTGAGTGGCGGGAATGGGGGGGCTTCGGTAGCCCCGGCCCGCGGGGCTTGGGCCTCCCCTGGGGCGTTGCGGCGCTTCTTCGCTGCGAAGCCATCAGCGCCTGTGTGCGAGGGCACTCGGAAAAGGGGATAAAGGATGAAATGAAAACTGCTGTCAGGAAGGGTTTTGCCGTATCGCTGACAGGCTGGGTGCAGCGTGTGACGGCAGGTGTAAAAGGAGGACAGAAAAAATGCGGTTTAAGGGGCCTTCTTGCCTTCCATCTTCCCCAATCTCTTTCTTCTTGCTTAAAAGCAAATGAGAATGTTTGTTTATCTCACTCCTAGAGTGGGTGCTTGTATTAGGCCTCAAAACAGCTGCCTTTACCTGGTCAAAACGTGGTGTTACCAGCATAATGCAAAGCTTAAGACATGGAAAGTGCCAGCGTACATGTCTACTGGTTGCAGGGAGAGCTGATGCCATGCTGCAGGGGCAAAATCCGCATATTGTGGAATTCTCTGCTTTGACCACAACTTCAGAAAGATTAACTGAAAGGAGGTGGTGAGCAATGGGGGTTGTAGGAGAGACCGTGAGTCGGAAACCCCCCATAGCTGCAATCCTGCTTCTGCCCTTGCAACTCGGTGTATCTGCAGTTTTGGAGGCAGACTTTCTTTTTAGTTGACAGGAGTTGAAAGAGAATAAAAATATGTGCAGGTTTCTTGCCAGCTAAAGTATAAGCTGGGAATAGAAAAGAGTTTCCAGTTCCATTTAGGCATTTTTCCATTGCAGACAAAGAAAAGGACTAGCGAGATTGTGGCATATAGTTTTTCATCACTTTTAGGGCTTAAGCGATTTGCATTTACTTGCCGATTTGTGCGGTGTTTCTGCTGCAGGAATAGCAGGTGTGCAGCAAATGCTCTTTGCATACCATCCTTTTAGGACTCTTCTGAGCAACTTGTTAGTGTTTTAGGGGAGACCAATCTTTAAAGCATAAACTTTAAAGTGTGAAAGTACTCAGCATCCATTTCTTGTAGTTGAATGAAGGGAACCCAAGCAGACAATTTTTTTTAAAAAAGGGAAATCGTGAGGGTGAGTACTGGTTTCATGTGGTGTGCAGGTAGCTGGCTCTGTGCATGTCAAGGAACTTATGCCTGGCTTTTTATTTGCAGGAGGATCTTGAAGCCCTGATAGCAGAATTCCAGAGTTTAGATGCTAAAAAGACCCAAGTAATTGAGTCGTCCTGTCCGCCCCCCTCGCCCAGGTAAGAGATTGTACAAGGCTTTGTCTATCACTTATACAGCAGTTGGTGGTGCTTTTAATGACATTTATTTATGTAAAGTTATTTCCCAAGCGTGTAAGGCATGATATCTGGCATAGCTGATATCTGGAGTTACAAAACATCTGGTATATTGAGTCCTTGGTTAAAAAAGGGACCAAAAGCTTTTTTTTGGCCTTAAAATCCCCTTTTTAATCATCCCATCAGCACAAAGGAGGCAAAGCAGAGTTAGATTGTAGGCTTTTGAGGAACGATAAAAGTTAAGAGGAAGTTCTGGATTTGGACTAGAAAGCTGAAAGGACTTAAGAGGCAAAAGGATGTGTCATGAGATAGAAGACACTTGTCCACATACTTACAGGTTCTGTATTTCTGTTCCCTGTGGCTTGTTAAATAAATGCCTTTCTCTGTGATACCTGCTTTCCTCTCTCTGTAGTGGGACAGGTTGGTACACTACTGTTAATCTCACAGGGCTGTTACAGTGGTCAGTTAGTTCTTCCTTGGGAGTGGTAGGGATCTGTCTCTGCATGGTGCAAAACACTTTGGTGGTATGTAGATGAGCAATGACCAGTGGTGACTGCAGAATAATGACACAGGTAAGTTGATACGAGACAGCCTGGTTCTACCCATAGTTCTGTGCCTTCATAAAACTAATTTTTGTTCTTGACACACCAGCATTAAAATTCAAGAGCTCACGTCAAAAGGCATGTTAAATGACAGTGTAACGTGTGCTCCTAAAATAGGAGAAGATTTCAGACAGTGTCAAATTAATCTTGCTGGAAGTTTTAAGAAGATAATTTCTTTGAGAAGTTTTTAGCCCTGGGGTGAATATCATAGCCTAGTAATTTGGCAGATGATGGAGAGACCTTTGTGGCTAGAGGGCAGAGGTGCTAGTGCTAGCTAAGTTGAAGGCTGCAAGCTTCTGAGTTTTACAAGACTCTTACACATCTACTGTTTTGGCCATCCCTCTTTCTTTTGCAGGCTGAACGGCTCCCTCTCTGCTCACCCTGAGAAAGATGAGTTGATCCTTTTTGGAGGTGAATATTTCAATGGCCAAAAAGTAACGTATACTTCCATTTCTTCTTTATTCTACCCTCTCCCTGGCTTTTACTGTAATTTGCATGAGTCTCATTTGAGGCGAAATTCAAGGCAGCAGTCATAAAATATGTATTTGTCCCTGATTGAGAGCAAAATAGCCTTTTAATTCTGCCGTGATACTGTCTCATGCCTGAACAGTTGGCAGGAAGGAGACATGCTAGAACCCATTAAGGAGTTAGAGTGATTGTCTCAGCATAAATATTTCAGGGCTTCATAATTTCTCCAGACTTAATTGTAGCCATATCTGCCCCTCACTTTTGATAACTGTTGAAGAATCTCTATCTTCCACCTTTCAAAACAAGATACTTCTGCAGTTTTGCTGCTGGCAAGGCATTGCCTGCCTTGGAGATGTGTACAGTAGCAAATATTTGCAAGTGGGCACTCTTGTTACTGAATTTCTGCAAGTTGCAAGTGTTTATTGTGCTCCTGGAGACAAACTGGTCTTTATGACCCTAAGAAGCTGTACATACTATAGCTTGAAAATTCAAGTCTGCCAATGATATTTGGCTGCCTTAGGATAACACAATGGAATGTGCAAAACTAATTCTGCTTGCTTCACTACATTAAGCTGTTCCTGTCTCAGGAGTTGAGCAGTAGTTTGGGCAACTTTAACCTACACATCTGTGTTAAGCTCTAACTTCTTAAGTCCTCATATCTCAAGCTGTCACAGGCTTAACCAAGGGTTTGGGAAAGAACAGCCCAGTCCAGTGGATCACTCTCAGGAAGTTGCTGACTCCCAATCTAGTGGAGGAGGTTGTTGTCTTCCTCCCCTGCCTGATGAGGCAGGTGAACTGTTGCTTTGCAAAGCTGGTGCTGTGCTCCTTCTCCCCCAAACTCACAGCTAACCCTCAGGGATGCCTGTGCTTGGACAAAATGACCCTGTCCAATGGAGAGCTGTGGTGATGTGTATTTTCTCTTCCTCTCTTAACAGACGTACCTGTATAATGAACTGTATATTTACAACATCCGAAAGAACAGCTGGTCTAAAGTAGAGATCCCCAACCCACCACCAAGGCGATGTGCTCACCAGGTAAAGTACTGCATGCCAGAGCAGCAGTTGGAATTATTCTAATGCTGTGCTAAAGATGGATGGGACTTGGTTTGCTTTTTTTTTTCCTCTGAGGGTTTCTGGCTTCCTTTCGTTCTCCTTGTAATGGGTTGCCAATGGTGTCACTTCATCTCTCCTGCTGAGGGGGCCTGTACAAGCCTGTCCAAGGTGCTTGTGCTTTCTGACCACTGGGTGGCCTCTGGAAATATTAAGTGTGGAATGAAGATTTGGGGTTGTATCTGTTGGGTTGGCAGGACTCAAGCGGGACTCATGGGGGAGACTTGTTCTGAAGGTGGACTCCCTTTGCTGCATTATACAGGGACCAGGTCAACCATCCATAATCCCAGGATGGCACTGAATTTTCAAAATGCTGGTCAGGGTATAACTTTGAATTTGACCAAAGTGCTATGAATGGCAGAGTTGCTGTGCATGATTATTTCCTGAATGCCCACAGGCCTACATCTATGGGCATTATAGATACTGCCACTGCAGTAATGTGAAAGACCCATTACTATAGGGTATCTGACTAGCATGTAGCAGTTGGGCTTTGCCAAGCGTCCCAACTGTACAACACAGTGGACTGCTGGCACTGACTGTGTGTCCTGCCTTTGGGTTGTGATTTTTTTTCCTTGGCAGATGGGCTGTTTTTCTGTTGTCTGCAAAGGCAATGGAGAAAGTATGCTAATTTTTCTCTGGGATACCATGACACTCCCCTAGAATTCACCTCTCTGGTGCCTGTGTCATTATGTCATTAAGGTCACTGGCTGGTTGTGATGATGAAGGATTTGGGTTTGTTTACTTTATGTGAACACCTGCACATTAGAAACTGGACCAAAGACTTGTATTTTTTGCAGGTCTTTGGCCCTCACCAGCTGTCTGATAGATTATCTTACCTGTCGCAGCAAGTGGCTGGGTGACTGGTACATTTCAAAAGCTGCCGTACAGGATGGGAGTATTATTTTCCTACCCATGGCCAAAGCTCTTTAGAGCTTCCTGGTAAGATCTGATGCCCTGGATAGGTTCATATACCCTTGTTATGCTACGCCTAAATGCCAGTCTTGCTCTGAGCTGTGTGTTCTTTCTTGAATTGAAAGGTTCTGACTTGATTTTTGGGCTACCTTGTGGTGCTTAAAATAGAACTTGATTTCAGAGGCCAAATTCCACAAGGAGACCATAAATTCACCCATTTCCCTAGGTGAAAAGGAGGTTGCTTTGTGGGTGTGGAGTTGAGAGGTGCTTGTTTGGGTATTGGTAGCCAGCAGGTGGCTGTCTAGCAGCTGAATCTGAACTGAGCAGGCAGCCCGTGCATCAGGGAGCTGCAACTGGATTACAACAAAAATAAAATGAGAAACCTATCTGAGGAGTCCTGCTTTAACAGGAAGTTTTCTCTCATAATTAATTATAGTCACACAGGAGACAGTTCAGCCTCATTAGTTGACTGGTTTGTTGTCTTCCTTGTGACTATTTCTAACGCATATTCTGCATTAGCTCAAGGGTAAAGAGAAGCGTGTCCATGGGTCTGTATGTGCACGTTTTCAGCCTTATTTGTCATCTGTGGTCTCTGACACATGATCCTCTGTTTGAGTTACACTGGCTTCATTACATCAGTTCAACAGAGCTGAGGTGAGAATAGCTATGGATGGCTGTTGTCAGTTGTTTAAGGACAAAGCTTGGCTCGGTAATGAATTTCGAGACAGCTCTTCAAAAGGTCATGCACAAGTATGAGCGGGCTGTTATATGTACCTTCCCCTTAAGCTTTTAAGCTCTAGATACTCATGAAAATCAGGCATGTATCCCCTTTGTTTAGGTAACTTCATGTTCCCACAAATCCTGCTTGCAAACACACCCTATATTTTCTCATGTGTTTAATCATTGCATGTATAGGCTGGTTTATGTCAGGGCATGGTCATGTGTCTGATGCTAAAAATCTACTTTGCTGTTTGCTGGGAAAGATAGGCAGGTAATGAAGCCCTTCTGAAGAAAGAGATCATTATCCCAATGTTGATCTGTGATGGGTACCCTAGAAAAAACACATGTGGAAGAATTTGTTTATAGTGTAAACAACTCAAGATGTCCCAGTCAAGGAAGAAATTTGCACAGTCACAAAGTTTCCTTTTTGGGATTCCTTCCTTCTTCCTTAGTCCTGACACAGATAATTTCAATGAAGTAAAGTCTTGCTCTTCTCTCTCTACTTTTAACTGTCAGCTTGCATCGCAACAGTGTTTTGGTGCTGCTCTGTGCAAAAAAACCTCAAACCCAAACCCCTTTGATACTCTCCTCTCTGCTACTTGCCCTAATCAGAGCAGTAACAGTCTCCTATTGTCCAGATGCTGCCCATTTCCTTCTGTGTTTGGGGGTTTTTTTGGTTGGTTTTTTGTTTGTTTGTTTGGGTTTTTTTTCTTCAGAGGAAGCAGTAATGCTTTTCAGGTCTTGGGAAGCATCAGGTTTGGACTTGTGCTGCAGATTGGTTTCTTTACTGTTTATTGTTTTATAATCTACAAAACCTGCAAAGGGCAATTGTGCACTGTTAATGGTCTTTTCCAAAAGATTTTTCCCTGATTACTCTGCCTGCCCAGTGCTGGGATGTTAGATGTGTCTTGGAGGCAGGAAGTGTCCCTGTTCCTCCCATGGCTAAGAGTTCATGAGCCCCAGTATGTCTTCTGCAGGATACTATTTATGTGACTAAAGAATGCATGAACATTGCTGAACCTTAGCTGTGGAGGGGTTTCCTTCTGGTGAACAGAGAGATTTGAACAATTGTTGTTAAACTAAATCTCAAGATGCTTCTCAGGAAACTTTGAATTTATAGAACTGGAACTCAAGATGCTAGGAGGTGGGAAGACCCCAGCTCCTTGACCAACTTCCCTTTGCTATAGGGAAGGTGTGTTCAATAATGAGTAACTTGCATTTAAAATTCCCCTTCCTTCAGCCCCAGAGGGCTGCTGTTGCCAAGCAAGGCAGCAGCAGCCGCTGCCACTTGTCTGCTCGCTGGTGTTTGGAGGCAGCTGCACATTTGACTGATAAAGCTCTCGTGTCTCTGGTTTCTGAACCCTTGTCTGATCCAGCTCTTCCTTCTCCTGGCAGGCAGCAGTGGTGCCCACAGCCGGCGGGCAGCTGTGGGTATTTGGCGGGGAGTTTGCATCTCCCAACGGGGAACAGTTCTATCATTACAAGGATCTCTGGGTTCTGCATTTGGCTACCAAGACCTGGGAGCAGATCAAGTAAGTGATGGGCCATCTTGTCTAGACTGTGCTTTTGCCAAGAAAGGTTGGGCCAGATGATCCTTGAGGTCCCTTCCAACCTGGTATTCTGTGATGTGTTCTGAAGTTGATGATGTTGACCCCGTGAGGAACTGTGCCAGCATGATCTGAGTTTGACTCCTGGTATAGTGCTGTCATTTCCCAGCTGTCTGCTCATGTCTCCCTTGAGTACAGAGGTGCCCATCCTAGAAAGGGTGGAGAGGACAGTCTCCAGAAAGAAGTGGAAATGAGAGATGTGTTCCAAGTCTATTGAGGCCAAAGCTGTTTTATTTAATATGTGATTTTTGTAGCATGGGTGTGCTTGGGTGTTACTTAACTGAAGGAAAGAGTATCGTGAACAGCACTCTGTCCTCCCAACCATGGTGGGTGTAGATGTCCAACTTCAAAACAGTACCTGTTGCTCCATCTGCCTGGGCTCCTCCTGCCTGGGCTGTACAAGGCCAGTACAAGGATCTCCCAGTTTTACCATTGCTTGAGAAAACAGCTTGTATCTATCCACAGAGCCAAATTCAATCCTGACAACTGGCATTTGCTGCCTCAAAATTCCTTGGGATAAACAAGCCAATAATTCAGACCCATCAAAGTAAATAGGTGCCAAAAGCCCTGGTAGTTTTTGACAGGAGTTAAGGTGTCTAAATATCTTTGGTGGATCTAGCGTAAAGCCCTCTGCTAGTGTTTCCTTAACCTTTGGCTTCTCGGTTTTGCTGCTCATGTTTATATTTGCATGAGAGAAGAAGAGGTCTGGTGGGTCATCCAGTGGACTGAGAAGCTGGAGATATGGCTTTGGTTCTGACTTTGACATAGACTTTCTCTTGGACTTTGGAATTATCTTGACTGTGGGATTAGTCAGAGCACAGCTTTGGGTGGGCTGGAACTCCCGTGCAGCTGACCCTCGAGGTGGCACTGGGGAAAGCAGCAGCTTTTGAACACTTGCTCATCTGCCGTTTGACCTGTCGAGCTCCTGGTTATGAGCTTCATGTCCTTCCTGCAGGTGGGAAGCTCTAAATCTGCCTAGGTTGATCACTTTTCGCCCTGCTTACAGAGTGTGGGTGCCTGTTGTCTGTGTCTGTCTCTTTTTGCACAGTAATTGAGAGGGTGGTTTAGGACTGAGCTGTGCAGAGATGGATACCCTGGCTCTGCCTTGGCACATGCCTGAGGCCACACAGTGAGTCATCGTGCCTGTCTGCCTTTTCTCCCCTCCCTGGAAAATGGTAGCATTGATATTGCCTGACAAAGGGGAAATTTGAAGGTTTAATTTTACTAATGTTAATGTAGTGCTGAAGGGACTCTGGTGTGGAAGGTGCAGGGGTGGGGGGGGGCACACAGAGCCAAAATGCAAAAATCCCAAGGAGTCCAAAACAGGCTGGGTTAGAAGGACGCTTCTAGGAGGACAGCACAGGATCCCGGCAGCCGACTGCTCTGCAAGAATCCAAGGATCGTCCTTTTGAGTAGCTCTGGGAGGCTGAGGAAAAACTGTTGGATTCGTAAGCAGCTGGTTCCTGTCCATCAGTGTGGTTCTTGGCTCCAGACCTGGTAGTGTTAATCTAATAACAGCTGTAATTTGTCATGTTCCAGAAGCCAGGTTTACTCCAGTGAGCCCTGCTTGTCTTTGAGAAGTGGGGGTGAGAGAAACCCTCCAAAATGATGGAGGGCTCTTTAAGAGGTGCAAGGATTAAAAAGACCTGTCACTGTGCAGGCTGATCTGCCTATTGTTGTTAGGCAGAAGCTGACGTAATGACTGTGACTGTACCCCTCCCAGCTCCCCCAAAATAACTTCTGAATCCCTTGCTCAATCTCAGCCAAATAAAGGGGATGAACTCAAATGCATTACATCCCTACTGGTTTCATGTAAGCGGGCAGCGGGGAGGAAGTGATGCTCGCCGTAGAGTCCCTGCTGAGAGAAAAGGTTGACATTTCAACCAAACTCTTGGTTGAAAAAATCCTCACCGGAGAGCAGTGTTAACACCCAGCTGCAGGGAGAGCGAGGGCGGGCGATTGTTTTTTGTGAGCCATCGGAGAATCCAGATGAGGCTTCGTTAGCTCCACCACTGATGGCACAAATTGTTCTCTCGTGGGTTTGCAGATGCGTTGCTGTAGAGCTGATTTAGGGTTTTCCACTCCCAAAACAAATGCTGCAGTACCTGACCTGCCTGGGAAGAGGAAATGAGATGGTTATGAGGCTCTACTCGTCCTGCATCTTATCCCATGTGGGAGAGCAGCCTCGGGGATGCTGAGTGTAACTTACACTGCAAAAGCACCTGTTGCCTCCCTGGAGCTGAGCATGAAGTTTGCATGTGCTGCGAGTTGCAGGATGCCCCCAGCAGTCCCAGGCCCCAAGTGGACTAAAACTGTAATGAGTGATTTTGTTGTGATGAGTTGTTACAGTTAGCGAGGAGGGAGCCAGATTGGGAAGGTGAGTTCCTAGTTCCACCTAGGGAGCAAGTTCCAGGTACCATGCTCTTCAAGCTGCCCAGAGCTACCCTTCATCCCCAGGTATTGGTTGTCACATGTCACCTTGGCTGCCACGCCACAGTGGGAGGATTCATTTGGAGACATTGGTACTTAATAGTTTCTTAGTAGCTAAAAGGATAGCCATTTTCTAAGGGAGCATCATAAATTATATGGGTGAAAATGCCCTGGAAAGATGATATTTTCTCTTTCCCTGCCCCATGCAGGATCTACTCCATTTGAGCTTCCTGATGTGTTTGGGTGGACGTCTGTCTTTCAGCCTTGCTGGAATTTTGAAAACGCTTGTGCCCTGGTCCCAGTGTTCAAATAAAACAAAGTGCATCTCCTCCCCATCCTTGGGCAGAGCTCCAAGAGCTGCATTAATGAGGCATCTGGTGGAGGAGGCTGGGAGGGGATGTCTTTGTTTTAATGCTAACCTGACTGAGTGTGAAAATCAAGTTTCTGCTGCCTCTTTGCTTTTCCATATGGCATCTTGATTACAGTCTGCTTGGAAAGGGGAAGGGGAAAGGGCAGAGATGATTGTTGAGTTGTATGAGGGATTTTTTTTTCCTACTTCTTTTAAAACTATGATCATACCACGTGCTGCATTTCCCTTTTGTGCAGCATTTTGCTTTTCTTGCCAGGAACCCCATTGCTGCTGTGATTTTTTCCACATAGGTGTCTCATGTCTGTCTGAAGTCAAGCACTTGCTTATTTTGGATTGCCGTTAACAAGCTGGGGGGGGCAGGTGACAGTGGGGGTCAGCTTGGGGGCTAGTGGTATTGGGAGAGTGGACATGTTTGAAAAGACTAAATGGAGGGGGCAGATTGTGTAGGCTTGTTGGGTCATGGTGGGGCACCAGCCCTGGTACAAAAAGCTTCACATAGCAGGCCAAGCAATAGTTCCATGTGTCCAAAGTGGTAGCAGCGTTACCTGAATAAGTGCCTGGTGATAGATATTTGGGGTACAGACTGGTATTGAGTGAACTCACTTGGGTTTAGAAGATGTCATTTTAGTGCAAGTAATAGAGTAACAGAATTATTCATTAACAAATGTCTGGGCAAGAGAGACAGAAGTTTCTGTTTCTGTTCCACGTGGGAAGAATCACATGTGCCCCATTTCAGGTGGGTTTGAATGTATTGGCTTGTGTGGATTAAATAGCTAAGATGACGCTGGTGTGATCTGAAATTGCAGTTCTAGGAAATCTAGTTATTCCAGCCTCACAGTTTAGATTTCAGACAATTATGTTGTCCTTCCTGGCCTGCAGTTCATGCCACAGACCATCTTGGTGCTGTAAGAGGCTTGACTGTAAAATGCTTTTGAAGAGAAAACCTTGAGTAACTCATTCCTGTGAATAACATCCCTGTGCTGTGTCTGCAAAGGCTGCTGGGGAAGTGGATCTCTATTATCTCCTAGCACAGAGCACAGTGGTGCCAGTCTGCTTGACAGAGTTAAAAACTGCTATATTTAGCAATATTTAGCTATATTTACTTGCATTTTGCATGCACAAAGATGGTCCAAACACAACAAATCTCAGCCTGTTAGAAGACTTGCCAGCAATGACTTTGTCTTATTGGAACCACCTTATCATGTGTGTGATGCATAAGGTTGCCTCAGTGCATGAACTGTTTGTTACTCTGCCTTAGAGCTAAGCAATATTTTAACCTGATTGTCTCATTCCTTCCTAGAGAGAATGTTCTTATTCAGCTCTCTGTGGCCCAGTGCACTCTGTCAAAGAGAGACAGGGAGCATCATGCTTTGGGGTTGTGCTTGGGAACTGGCAGATCCCTCCTCTGTCTTGCTTTTGAGCCTGTATAGCTCTCTTCCCTTTAATACTGGAATGTTAATGATACTTCCCATAACAGATTTGTGAGATGCAGTGCTATAAATATTTCAGGGTAGCGTTTCACAAGCGTATGTTTAACGCTGTTTACAGAGAGAACTGGAGCAGTCACTGCAGTGCAGGATGCCTTTCAGCACAGGTTTGTTTCTGATGGACAGCTTTTCTTGCTCATGTGCTATCTGTCACCGGAAAGATCAGGTCCTGCAACACAAGGTAGAAAGGTGCATTGATGCTTAAAGAAAAGAAGGGTATTTTGGCGTACCATTGAGTAGACTTCCTCTGTCAGCCCAGAAGTAAGCCTTGTGAGCTCATTCTTTGGCAGATCAGGATCCAAATGTACAACCATTGATGGACTTTGCAAGGGATTTGATTTGAGGGTTTTGTGCCTTGTAGCAATTGCGTATTCACTTGTGTGCTTTCTAACTGAGTATACAAACACATGGATACACTATCTGCGTGTGCCATTGAACAGAACGCTTGTTTGCATTCACAAGTGTAAGGTGTAAAACTGAACACTGTCCTGGCCTTCAGCTGCCTTGAGTACTGGAAGAAGAAAGTGCTTTGTCCTGAAATGCCCCTTTGATGGGATGTTCTATGCATCATCACTTATTATTATGGAAAGGTTCCGAGATTCATGGGAGCATCCTCTGGATGAAGGAATGAACTTATGCAGTCTGTAGCCACTGTGACATGTAAGTCTTTAATTCTTGAATCTGGGGGCTGAATTCAGGTCTGTTATGTTACTATAAGTCCCAGAGTAACTCTACAAGCAAAAGCAAATTCCTTATGGAGCAGTTCTGATCAGACTTATGCTGTACATGTGTAGAGCCAGTCCTTATCCAGACATATCTTTTAATCTATTTTTAAAAAAAGTCTGGAGAATTTACAGCTCCCTCCCACATGTCTGCTTTCTGGTGTCAACCCCATGAAGTAGAGTATTAATCATAAAGTCTGTGAAACCATTTCCAAAATGCTTGTTTTGGACCATGAGCAATGATACAGGTAAAAGGAGACAGTTTGCATTTGGGAAACAAGTCTTCGAGCTTGCAGCAACCACCTTCTGGAGTGGCAGCATGGTTATACGTTACTGCCAGTCCTGCTTGACGATGCCATTTGGTTTTTCCATGTTGTGTTTGGAGACTGGGGACAAAGGACCTTGGCTGTATGAATAGCTCTAGGTAAAAATACTTTCTAAGAGCAGTTGTTGCAAGTTTAGGAGAGCATGTCCTTACATCAAAGGCTATAAACTTTCCTTTGTAGCTGATTCCTGCAATGTGTAACACAAAGGCCAAGGAAGCTGAGATGATACTGTACTGTGCAGAGTAAGGCCTCCTGGAACTGTGTTTCAGCATCTCTTCTTGTAGCTTGTATTGCTAGTCTAAAGAAAGGAGAGACCAGCCTTGTGATTGAGAGCAAGTGGTGCTGGTGCCAGTGAGACTTCTATGAATTCGGATCAGGCCCCAGACTGGATGTTTTCCTTAGTGACTTTGAGTGAATTGTACACTTGTGGGAACTTGTTTATTAAAGCACACACATCAATGAATAAACTTTTTATTGCTCAGAATTGATTTTTGACTTGGAGGAAACCTGTTAGAGAAGCAACATACTCTCTGAGAGGAGGATTTTGTTGTTAATGTTGATTTTTAATTCCTTCTTTCCTTTAAAAAAAAAGAAAAAGATTTTAAAAGGTGCCATCCTTTGGAATAGTGACATGGGAGCTTTGTTACAGAAGAGAAAATAATGATTTCGGATCTTGATGAAATTAATACTAGAGGTGCTATTCTGTAGGGTGATACTTAAAAATCCAGTAAATGCCTAGAAAACCCCCCTCTCTGTTAGAATAAAAAGTCCAAGCAATCAATATTAATTCATTCTTACCCAAACGCTGCTGTTCTGCTTGGAGTTTTTCATTATGACTGGTGTGAGATTGTCATTTTTGATGGTGAATAAGGGCCCTCATTTTTCTCTCCACAGAAATCTATCACCGCACTTTAGAGCTATCTGCTGCCAGTTAAAGTGTAGCAGTAGGGTTGTGGGTTTAGGTTTTGCTGTTGTTTTCAACGGTGAGCAGGTTTCTCATTTATTTAGGCCCTGATTCTGCAACCACTTAACAGATGTTAACACTGCCTATTTGAGAAGTCTTGCTGAGTTCAGTGGTGCTGTGTGCACTTTGGGAGACTCCTTGGTGAAAGTGAAAATGTGATAGATTAATCCATGGGCGCAGAGAACAGACAAAGCAAAACCCTGTTTTCTCTGCAGTTTGGCCTAAAGTTGCCTTTGTTTTGAGAGTTCTTGTTTTTGTTCTCTCTCATACAATGCTCAGTCTGTGGGTGAACATGAAGGAAGGTGAATCTTCATTGCCTCTCAGGAATGTCGTTGCCAGCTGCCTGGCTTCGCATGAGGCTTTTGGATGTGACAGATGGGGTGTTGTTGCTTGCTCCTGGAAATGGAAGTGGCACATTTAACTGAAAGGTCAGGAAGGCTTAAAAGAGCAGAACTGTGATGCATAGCTGCTTTTTAATGTGTAAGATAATAATGATCACTTGTTTTGCTGCAATGCCTTTGTTCTTGAGGAAATCTAAGTAATTTACAGTCTTCTCACTAGTTTGGTGTTATATCCTAACTGCAGATGGATGAGTGAAGACACAATGGGTATGTGATTTCCTAAGATATTGAAGGAGAGTGGATGTCAGAGCCAGTCTCTGTCTCTTACTTTGGTACTTGGAGAAGGCATCTCTGTCTGGAGTGCCTTTCTTGCGATTATGGGAGTTGACTGCTATTCATTAAACTCTCCTGAAAAATTAGCTCTTGAGTCATAGCAGAAAAGATTTCAAGACTTTAGGTGCTGTTAAAGACTAGATGGCTTATCACTAGGCATAAAATTGTTACTGCAAAATGCCTGTGTTGCAAATACCAAGAATTAACAGGAAGAGCACACATACTGTTCTGGAGAAAAGCATACATATGGATTAAGGCAACAAAGTTCCCCATGGTTTCCCATTCCAGGAGGACAGAAGCTGAACTCAACCAGCCCAGCTGCCGATGACACAATAAAAATGGACTGACACACTAACAGGAAAGGGAGTGTTGCTGATAAGTGGAATTTCTTTGCATTTCAGGGCATCAGGAGGTCCCTCTGGACGAAGCGGACATCGAATGGTTGCTTGCAAAAGACAGCTGATCATCTTTGGAGGTTTCCATGAGAGCGCAAGGTGAGTTACTGAAGGATGGTGGGTGGTATTGAATCGTCTGTAAAAAAGACAACAGAATTTCACCACTAACAGAAAGCTGGGCTTTAGTACAAGGATTATCCTCAGCAGTACTGTTACTCATCTACACTTTTATGTTAGAAAGACAAGTCCTCTTGATTTAAAGTCTTCAAGTATTTGAGAAGCCATCCTACCACTTAGCTAATCACTGAAGTAGCTACTCGTCCTTGTAGCTAAAGCTCAGTACATCACTTACGGCCTCTGAATCTTGTCAAAGAGCTTTGTCTTCCTAGAAACATCTTCTCCAGTAGGCTCTCGCATATTACGTGAGGTCACAGCTACACTGTCATAGGGACTGTGAAGAGAAATGAGCTGCATATTGTCTCAGAGACAGTAAGAAGCATAACCACGGTCCCTGAGAGCACAGTGCAAGTTGCAAAGCCCGCCCTAGATTTGGTTGTGTCCTTGGGATTTTAACCTGGGCAGAGTATTTTCCACTAGCAGTATATGAGTTGGCTAGTAGAACGAGAGCAGGGATATTTGTATATTTTTTTCCAGCCCATGTAGACAGACGTAACTCCAGTCTGTTCTGATCTTTTGTGTTCTGGTTTAAGTTACCTTGGATCGTGTTAACTGGATAGAGTTGATCAAACCTCAGTTCTAGTAAGGAATGACAGGTAAAAAAGAATCCCGAGAGGCCTTGCTTAAATGAGCTTTGTCAAATGCAAATTGTTGTACTGAAGTAGTAACCTTCACCCGAGTAAATCTTCTGTACGTTGCTATGGCAGGGGAAAAGCCGTAAATGCAGGGAGTTAAATAAGGTGTTGCGCCTCTTCAGGGGTTCCTGGTGCTGTTCCTGAAGTGGTATTTTATCTTGTCCTAAATGGTGACCATTACAAAAACCTGTGGCGTGCCGATTTGCTCTCCCTAGAGATTACATCTATTACAACGATGTGTATGCCTTCAACTTGGACTGTTTCACCTGGAACAAGCTGGCTCCATCGGGGATTGGGCCTGCTCCAAGATCCGGCTGTCAAATGGCAACCACTCCTGAGGGCAGCATAATCATCTATGGAGGCTACTCCAAACAGGTAGGAGAGACTTTGTGGTAAGCCAGTGCAGTATTTCCTGGATGCTAAGCAGAATAGTTCATGGAAAAACTAAGGGGCTAAAGTAAAAACTAAAATGTGACAAACTCAAGTTGCTTAAGGGAGACCAATGCAATGGTCTTGACCTGTGTTGGTTGTGTAGTCCTGTGTTTTGGTTGCTTGGAGAGCAAGCAATGGGCTTAGACCTTGGGAGAGCAAAATTGAGATCTCTATTCTGCTACTTCCCTCTGCTCAGTTTCGCAAGCCTTGTCTCCTGTGCAAGATGTGGTGATCTCATCACATAGCTGCCTGCTGCTCTGACTGACGATGGTTCCGCGTGCCAGGCAGCTGCCAGATGTCCAAAAACCACTGGTAACGAGGGTGCATGTTAGCCTGTGGTTATGCCAGCTTGAAGTGAATGTGAAGTTGTGCCCTGGGATTGTTTGTGCACAGGATGGGTCAGGCTGCTGTGAACCACTACTACTACCAAAAGAGGCATCTTGTCTTCTAATTGTGCCTTTCTTCATGGAGTTGTGTGCTGACAAAGGAGCTTATCTTGGTTAAAATGAATTTTGTATTTTCCCTGCTAATCTAATCCAGTATAAGGAGGTGATAAGGAGGTAGGAATAAGCAACTGGGAGAAATGACGTTTTTTGGCAACAGTGGTGGTTACTACCAACTTAAAGCATTCTCAGGTAGTAGTCATCCATGCTCTAGCACTTGCAGGTTAAAAGCAGCAGTTGCCAGGAGACTTGTGTTTTCTTGCATCATTGAAAGGGTTAAGAGAGCAGCACTAGTTAGCAAACTCAATAAGCCAAAGATGACTTTTGATGAGCACCAGGCTTCCTCTGCTCTGCTTCTTGCTTTGCTAATCATGGTAATTTATACTGGATAGCCCTTTACACCATATGTCCTCATTGACCAAGTATCCCTGCCTCCGTGCTGGGTGGGAGGAAGTAAATATTTCATTGAGCAAAAGGCTCCTGCAAAAGCTTTTAATGTTGCGAATGCAGACAGAAGACCCGGATCCTGCTGCTACTGTCTCAGTGGAAAGGCATCGCTTCCAGCAGTGCGTTGCTGGGGGAGGAGGACGCGTTGTTCTTCTGATGTGAATAAATGAACAAAGAAAAAAAGCAGGGAAAGGGGAGAGAAGATAGGCTGTCTATATATTTAGAAGCATTTGTGCCTCCTCATGGCCTGTGCTTAGGGCTCTATCTCATCAGATGTGCATTTGATTAAATAGCAGTAACAATACAGAGGCATTTTCTATGCAAAAGGGCTTTGTCCTCTTCCTTTCTCTGTCCTGTTTCCTCACTTTTGAGGGTGGGAAGGAAGCATGAGCCTGCATGCTATGCTAGATGTGGATCTTTCATGGCTACTGAAAGCAGCTGAGTTTCAAGTGCACACTGAGCCCTATGGAAATATAAAAGTTGATGCATGTTTGCAGTTGGTTCTATTCCACTTCATGAGGGTGGGCTCTGTCACACTGCTCTGGGTTGTTTTGAGCTAATAAAAATGAAGTAGAAGGGATGGGGGAATGCAAAGCTGCCCTCAGCCTTTATGCAGGACACTGAGCAAGGATAAGAGCTGGGTGCAGTTCCTCTCCAGCCTGGAGAACAGCTTTTAGATTAAAACAACCACTCCTGTTATGAATCTACTTCCTTCGTAATAGAGAGAGTTAAGCCTGCTTCTCTGATGTGTCATTCCTAACGGAGACTTCTGTTGTGTATTCTGTAGCACAAGTGTACTTTCAGGCAGGAATGGTGCAGCCAAGCTACAAACTGACAAAAGCACTGGACAGAATTTTCTCTGCAGCTTTCTTGAGATGCAAAGACAGAAAACTTCTAGCATGCTCCTGAAAATTTAATTTAGCAAGCTTTAGCCCCTCTAGGAGAAACACAACTTCAGTAACGTGTGGCTATTTAATTCTTGTTGCATCTTTGCTTATAGCGGGCTGTGGAGCTGAGTCTCTCTGGGTTTACTTCGAAGTGAAGAAAGTGTGTTTGGCTTGTGTACTCCCCCCAGAGTCATTGGCTGGGGTACTCTTGGGAGAAATAAGAGGTAGACAGTGGAGGAAACAGTACTTAATTGGACCTGGGCAAGCACAGGAGGAGACCTATTCCTTGTCTCCAATTAGAGAGGCAGGTGCTACATTCAGGAGTGCTATGAAGACATTTTTGGGCATATGAAGACATTTTTGCATATGAAACCAGGCGACTGTCCAAGCAAAGTGCTATTCACCAAGTCATTTAGAGACTTTTCTAGTAAGAGGCAGGACTAAGTTGCACATGTGCTGTAAAAAAGATGCAGGTCTGTGTGGAGGCCTCCTGAGGCCAGAGCTGCTACCAAGCATGTATATGGTGTGAACTGGTTTGGAGGGAAGAGGAGTGGAAATCATAATAGCTCCTCTGTTTTAGTATCAGCATGATATGGCTGTCATATTGCTGGAGGAGAGTTGTGATGTGGCAAGGCTGCTTTCTTGCGATGGGCAGTTCTGATGCATTATATCCTGTGGTCCCCTTAGGCCTTGTAAATCTGCTCTGAAGTACTGTACCAAAATAGCTGTGCGGTGTGGTGTAATGCACATTGCCTAGGGCAAAAAGAGATGCAAGCCCAGGAGATTCATGGTTATGGGTGGAATTGTAGGCATTTTTGTACCCAGCTGACTGTTGTGGCTCTATAAAAGCCTGAGCAACACTATCAGCTTGCACCCAGGGATGTTCCCCTGATCGTGTGATTGATCTGCTCGTCGTCAGTTTGGTCAGCAGGCGCCATGAGCTGGGAAGGCAGAAGCAGAGAGATTTGGTCCCTGCTTTGATTTTCTGGACTTGCACGCAGAACTGAGCATGGAGGGTCAGCTTTCAGTAATGTCTGTCAGTCCAGGCTGTGTTTCTGAATTCCCTTCACGTGACCTGACTAAGAAAGTCTCTTTCTTGGCTGGAGAAACAGAAGCAGAAAAGATCAAGTGACTTGTCTAAGGCACTCCAGTACTTGTATACAGAGCCAGGACAAGAACCTTGGTATCCAGACATGCCTTTGCCTGTGCCAGCCACCGGATTTTGCTGTCCAAGTGGTGAACAACAAGGATGCAGATGGTGAAAAAGGAGCTTTACAACCCTGAGTGCGACTAACTTGAGATGTTGGTGCACAGATTGACAGGAGCATGCCTGATATTTTAAAATGAACGATTCTTAGCACAATGGTGTCCCCGTGTTCATCTGTTTCATCTTCAGCCTAGAAATTATAAAGGCAACTTCTACGATCCCTTACAGAAGGGGATGTTGTGGGCATTGTCGGCTCTGCCTAAAACGTACCTCAGAATCCCGCAAGGAGCTCAGACTTGCTCTCCTGCTGATCTTAAAGATGTCCTCGCCCGTTTCTCATGCTGGGGATGGGGCTTGCTGCAGCAAGCTGCATTTTTGGCTGTATAAAGCAGTGAGACCTCTCTATTGCTAGGCAACGTGAGCGCACTGTGCCTGACTGGCACGGCGAATGCAGCCAGGAGGTGTTGGAGGCTAATGCTGCTCTACCTTGCAGGTGCAAGCAGCCTACAAGCCATGGGAGGGCTGGTGTTACATGTGTGCAAGGCTTTTGGATGCCAAAGGAGGCTAGTATGTGTGTGTGGGGGCATTGTTTGGTTTGGGGTGGGGTTTTTTTAGTGGCAAGCTTTGCAAAGCTGAATTGGATTCTGCTGGGAGATTGCTTGTGGCAGGGCTGAAGTGTTTGCCTGAATTGTAAGGTCTGGTGGGACTGGTTCCCTCTGTAGTTCTGCTTGCTAAGGGCTTCTGCTAATTGGATGTATTTTGCCACTGTTGATCTCTTTTTATCAGACATGTTTAGCACATTGTACACAGGGAATCCTGATTCCCCTTCTTCTCAAGAACAGCTCTCCATGCCTCAGTTTCCTTGCTCTTTGAAGGGGGATAAACAGGCGTCTTGCTGTCTGTCAGTGGAGCTAGGGTTTTTTAGCTAATGCTTGTAGAGCTCTTCTAACTTTCTAATGTACCTGTATGCGCAAACAATAGGCTGCGGATATCCAAGCCAGTTTTGTGCTTGAAAGCAAACACCTGGAACTTCAAGGCAAGAAGGACAGTGACGGGACAGGAGCTTATTGTGACTGACAGAGCGATTTGCTCAGGGCAAGCAGCAGTCCTGGGTGCAAGGGGATTGATCTCTCCAGTAGCCGTGTACTGCTTGCTGGTGAAGTGTCTGCTTTTGAGCCAGTGTGAGTTGGGGAAAACAGGCATCTCTTTGACAACAAATAACTAACTCCCACTCCACCTCATTGGGGTTTTCTCAGCCCAAGAAGCTTTGTCATGTTGCATACGCAGCGTGTTTACTACAGGGAGCCATGTGGTTTTCAGGAGAATGCAGTTATTCTACGCAGCTTGTATGATAGTGGAGCCAAGTGCTCTTTCAGTATTTGCTGTTTCCCCTCCTTTTGTGCAGGCAGTGCACATCTTACTGTGCTCCTGCACGCTTCAGCCTGTGTGTCCCCTGCACATATGAATGAGTGCTCTGTCTAGCATTTAAGAACAAACTGCAGCCTGCCTGGGACTGAGGAGGAAGTAACCACCATGTCTGTTATTGCTAGCAGACAACCACTTCGCAGTCACTGGGGTGCACTTCATGCTATAAGGTGTGAAGGCTCCTGCCTGTCTCCATCCCTCCTCCTCTGCCCATCCATCCCTGACAGCTCTTTGCTCAGGTGAGGCTTGGAGGGGTGTTTGAGGTGAGGGACAGACTAAAAAGGCTGCTATATCTCAGCTGTACGCAGCCTGCAGCTCGTTGGTGACTTCTGCTGCCCTAGACCTCTGTGACAGAGACAGTGAAGTGTGACATTGCCAGAGGATGGCACTTGCTCGGCACAGTGACTCACAGCCCTTTGAACTTGAGAGCTACTGCTGTTGATGCCACAATATGTGCACCACCAAGCTATGAATTGGTGTACTCAATACTTAACAGCACCTTTCTTAGAAGGTGTTTCTTTCCCTTCCTGCCCTGACAGCTCTCTCTCAAGGATCTGTTCAAAGTGGGCAGCTCCCAGCCCCTCCAACCACATCTCCAACACCAAAGCTTCTCTAGCTATGCCTCAGAACCACTCACCAATGCAAAAATTTGTCTTGTTTGTTTTCCCCGTGCTGAAGAACTGGCAGTGGCTGAAGGAATCTTCACTGTTTAACCTCTAATTCAGAAAATAGGACAGTCACTGATGCTTGTTCCTACAGGCTTCCTGTCCCTTGTGTGCCTGATGTTCTGTTGCTCTAGGACAGTAAAATAGTGCAGTTGTTGACTTCATCGAAGTGGTTGCACAGAAGAGGATCTCTCCAGTGTAGACATACTGTCTTGAAGAGTGTGTGTCTTTCAGTTCACTAATGGGCATGCTTAGGTGCGTGTGAAGAGCAAGAAGACACGTGAGCCACAGCCCCAAACTAACAAATTTCCCAAGGCAGCTCTACAGGCAGACCCTGGTCCTTAAGTTAACTGAAGCTTCCTTTTTGCTGCACTGCAAGCAGAGTTGTCCTCTTTCCTCCAGCACTTCATTGTCAGCCTTCCCCGGGGCTTCTCAGCATCATCTGAGTTACAGCGTTGTTGTGCAATGCCTCAAACAGACTTTCCTCTCTTCTGCCTTTCTGAGAGTTGAATACCATTCCTACGAATTGGATGCCAGGCCATGCAGTAACAACACAGCATACTACCCTGCAATAACAAAACCTGTCAAGTGCAAGGCACAGGGTTGGGTACAGATGTGCAGCAAGAGGAGGACAGCACCATGCTGCTGTGTTCTTGGGTGCATCCAAGCCCTGCTCATCTTCCTGAGGACTGGACCCAACCCTCCCAGCTTCTGCTGGGATCCACTGCCTGCACCCTGGAAGCAGTTACATAGCATAGCAATGCCATCGCCCCCAGGAGGAAGGGAATTACCAGGAAGTAGGAGCTCTGCATGAAGGATGGGTGGATAATAACATTATTAAAAGACCTCCTACAGTGGTGTGGCATAGTGCTGCTTTCAAATGCTGCATGTTGCTATGAGCACTGGAGTACAGGGGCTTACAGTGAAAGGAGCAAGGGAAAATAATGTTTAAAATTATGCATTTAATTGCCTCAACTGAGGCTTGATCCTGCTCTTGCTGGTGTCTTGCTGTTGCCTTTAGTAGGGGTGGAAGTGGGGTTTCTGTTCTGTTTCTGTTTACGAGAAAAAAAACTGTTGCCCAAGGCTCTGTGGGGACCTGAATGCTAAAAATGACAGCTGCAGTCAGGCTGTGGTGCAGAGAGCGAGCTGTCACCTCTGTTTCTCTTGTAGTGGGATGGAGATGGAGGGGGTGGCAGGGACTGAAAGTCTGCGTGCTAGTCACAGGTCTGTGCTTAAACTTGGGCCTCACAGATGATACAGCCCAGACGCTCTGAGCTTCTGTTCAACATTCAAGGGCAGAATCCCAGTGGGCCTTGCAAGCCCTGTGGAAAGTTGTCGTGTGCCACTTGGGTGGAGTGGGTATCTGCTCTCTTTTTACAGCTAGAGAAGCAGAGGCACAGATGTTAAATTAGTCCCTTGAGAGCACCTGGTACTGTCTGTGACAGAGTAAAAGGCAGGACTTTGGGTCTCCTGTTTCCTTGGTGCTGCTCTTCCCTCCTTCTCTCTGCAAAACAATCAGTTTTAATCCCTTGTGACAATTTATTTCTCTTCTCTGGGTGCTAAAATTGCTGCCCTTAAACTGACTCCTGTAGTCTTCATAGGGCCACAAGTCCCAGGATCTGTGTTGCAGCCTGGAGAGCCCTGCCTGGTTGTCACAGGCAGAAGTTGGTTGTGGCTCATCATAGGAAGTAATCCTGCTTTGAACACTATGGTTGTGACCTGCCTGATGCTCCAGAGCCACAGCATGACTACCTGTGTGGCTGCTTCTTGCCCAGTCACAGTGTTTGCATTTAGCACAGGAATGTACAGATCTAGGCTGTGATGAGGCTTATCTGTGGGGCGGTGAGTTCAGAATGGCGCATACCGCCATTCTGGCATGGGTGACTTTCTAGGCCTTGAAAAGTTGGACCTCCTGTGTTTTGGGCCACTGAAACTGTTTCACGGAGCATCCCTGTCTTTCCCTTCTCTGCAGAGGATTAAGAAAGATGTTGACAAAGGCACCCTGCATACAGATATGTTCCTGCTGAAGACTGAAGGTGCAGGCAAGGAGGAGGGTAAGCTACCGCTGCAGCTAGGAGGGCTGTGCTGGAAGTGATGCTGCAAGACTGTGAATGCAAATCCTCTCTCTTCCTTTGAATAACAGACCAAAACACTCCAAGCCTAGAACAAAATTTCCCTTTTAATGAAAAGTCTATGCCCCAGTGTTTGCTTTGGGGCTAAACACAGCAGATGAGTTGATTTAAATATTTCTTCTTCCCAGGAGTAGCTAAGTGCATTTGTATACTGTGACTCAAGCTTAAAAAGAAAGGGGTTAGGGTGAATGAAACAGCAGTTGCCGGGGTATATTGGAGGAATTATGTTCTTTTTTGTTTATGTGTGTTGGAGAAGGAAGATGGGCCATCACACATGCAGGCAGAATTCCTCACTGCGAAGGGAAATGGGAAGTAGGCGCTTGTTGCGCTTGTTGCCGCAGCAGACTGTATGCTGCACAGTGGTTCTGTCCCCTTTTCACACTCCATTTTACAGCCTGAAAAGATGAGGCTGTGTCTGGTTTGCTGAGAAAAGCTTGCTGGTTAGCTGAAGGCTGTAAGGAGTCATGGTTCTCAGCTCCAGGTGACTTGATTTCAGAGCTCATGTAAATGTTAGCTCTGATGCAGTGAAACACTGGGGGATTAGAGCTTGTTGAGAAACTTCTGCGAGGAACTGGCAGAGCTCTGGAGAAAGGTTGGGGTATGCTTTTTGTCAGAGAATCACTTCTAGCTCACAGCATCATCTATCTTGACACCTCCCAGTTGGTCTTGGAATAGTCTGAGATGGAGTGGAGGGTCTCCAGGCTCCTTGCATAACTATGTGAGAAGCTCTGGCCTGCACAGACAGCTTCAGGAAAAACTACAAGAAAAGTTATTTTAGGGATTTTTTTTGGTTTATGCGTGGGAGGGAATTAAAACAACATTTTGAAATTCCTGTTCTCTGGGACATTTTGATCACTGCTCTTCTGTTTCACAACAGAAAATCCTTGGGATTTCAGAATTCTACAGGCTGGAAATTCCTGTTTTGACAAACTCTGTTTGGTAGTGGTGGCTCACTTATAGACTCTTAAGAGAGAAGACTGGGGTGTGATCTCATGAGATTATGTAATGCAGGGATATTATCAAGAGTGATTTCTTGGTTGGTTGGTTGTTTTATCTGTGAATGTCCCCAGAAATAGGAATTCCATCACTTTCCTTAGGAGAGAGCGTATTTTGTCCTTGGCTCAGGGAATGGGACAATCTTCTTTGAGCTGAATTTCTAAAATGTTAAAATTGTGATGGATTTCTTTAAACCTGACCTTCTTAAAGTGGGATTTGGGGAGGAGGTTGGTCACATATATTGTCTGGATTCCAGACACTGCTTGCATTATGTCCTATTTATAGTTTATCTTCTTGAAATTGTGGTTCCTTCGGAAACAGTGCCTAGCCAACGCGTATGCTTCTCCCAGCCTGCATTTTAGGGATTCGCTCTAAATCCAAAGTAGAAGGGATTGGAGCAAAAGCAGAGGGTTTAGAGCACAAGCCTTCTCCCGCTGCTGAGCCCTTTTTTAAAGTGTGGTTGGGTCTCCTTACAATTAACAGTACTTATTCTTGGGGTTAAGGCAGTGGTGCAAGTTGGGAGATAAGGTACTGCAGTAGAAGGGACCTGCGGAGAAAATCTTGTAGAGTGGGCTTCATGGGATAACTGAGGTACCTTTCCTTGGTACTCAAAGATCTATAATCAATTCTGGTTTGAACTTCACCCTCCTGTAAAGGTGTATACACCTTTCAAGAGGCTCCCTGCCCCAGAAAGCACACCCTGAAGAGAACTCTCTGCATTTGCTTTTATTGAAGACAAAATGGCTTTCTAAGCATAGAAGGGATGTGCAGATTAGCTGTGTGATTGAAGTGGAAATGCAAGTGGTTCTGATTAACACTGTTGTTGAAGGTGCACTATGCAGCTCTGAGAATGTCCAAAATAGGTCATTGAGTTACTTGTTGGAGTACTGAAGGGCCTTGAAGTTATGGAAACGATCAGGTTTCTCCTTTGCTGATGTTCGTATTTGCTTTTATCCATTACCAGACAAGTGGGCGTGGAGTCGGCTCAACCCATCCGGAGTGAAACCCACTCCCAGGTCTGGCTTCTCCGTGGCAATTGGTCCCAATAACCGCTCCCTTCTGTTTGGAGGCGTGCATGATGAAGAAGAGGAAGAGAGCATTGAAGGAGACTTCTTCAACGATATTTATTTCTATGACATTGGGAAAAACCGCTGGTTTCCTGGACAGCTAAAGGTTTTGTTTTAAAAATAACACAGATATATTGAGTATAAACTGATCTTCCTTGATGATCTGACACATGTTCTTTGGGCCTTTTTTGGCCTCATACAGCTTTCTCACGGTGTGAAGCAAGCTCTATTTCTAATAACTCAGGGTGCTCCAGAAGCTGAGCCACCAGGTGTGGCTGCTGTTTTGATCTGTGACCCACTGATAGTGAAGAGGGGGAGAGACTATAGAAATGAAGCTGTGGATGTGCAACTCTAGCAGGTTTTTGCTACCAGATCAGCTGAATTCTCTTAACTTCATGCTGCCCTTCTCCTTTCCTGCCACTTAGCTCCCTGTGCTCACCATGCCCTGCTTCCACAGTGTGATGCAGACTGTCACCCGTCTGGGGAGAGAGGAAGCCTCTGAGCCCTGATGGTTGGGCACAAAGCAAGAGTGGTTCAGGAGGCAATCCCCCTCGTCTAGAACTCAGGCTGCATGTGCCCCATTGTTGTGTAATGCAAAATGACACAAAGCAGCATGAAAACATAGTTATGGTGTTTTACTGGAGGCCAGCTCCAGGTCAAATGTGTAATTCTGACATGAGATGGTTCAGTAAAAGCTACTATGAAAAGATCTGGTGTAGCACTGGGATCAACAAACCTCCCTCTTTTCCCCAGTGTTGATGAGCTACTAGAATAGATGAAATATTAACCTTAGCTCATAAGAACTTCAGAAATGTGGCCCTCAGCTCAGATCTTTGATTTTGTTTGAACCACTCTCAAGGGGGAAGTGAGGTGGAAATGACCTGGTTGAGCTTCCTTCTTTCCACCCCCACTGTTTCTGGGTTTGTTCTCAAAAAGGAGAGGTCAATCACACAACAACAGGCAAACATGCACTTGGATGTTTGCTTCTGCCTTTCTAGCTGAGTGTTTTCCAGCCCGTTAAAAGAGTAGTTCAAAGACCCGGAGTGCTTCCTGTTAATGCACTGTAATTTAGCACCCAGCAATTGTTTTGATTTCACAAAATGGTGGGTTATTTTCTCTTGTTCCTGTCACAGACTAGTGGACTATGTGTGTGTTTGCGTGCACCTGCAAGGAGAGCAAAAGAGCTGTTCTCTGTCTCTTCAGCACATGCTGCCATTAATAGAGGAAGCAACTCCCCACCATGGGTTCTCCAGGAGTTTCATTGCTCCTTGTTTTATGGCTGGTAGAAGTTCACGCTGAGTGGGAGGTTGCACCTATCACTTGAGACTTACAATTGTAATGAATAATAATTGAAGTCTTCCCCCCTCCCTCCCAGCAGCATCCACAGTATTTGTATTAACTGCTGTACATGCTATTAGGTGCACACAATTCACACGCAGCCTCTTTCTGTTCCTTGCTCCTGTTAACAGGGACCAAAATCTGAGAAGAGGAAGCGAAGACGTGGCAGACAAGCTGAGGCAGAGGGTGCTGGAGATGAGGAGATGGAGAAGCAATCTCCACAAGGCCCGGTGGAGATAGTCAAAGAGGTGGTAGCAGAAGATGGGACTGTCATGACAATAAAGCAGGTGATCTCTGGACCTGCAGAAGAGAAGGAGAGGTCTGAATCGGAGGAGGAGGAGGAAGATGGAGCCTTAAGCCAGCAAGTGGAACCATGCCCACGTTCGAATGCCATGTTGGCGGTGAAGCATGGGGTTCTCTATGTGTATGGGGGAATGTTTGAGGTGGGCGATCGCCAGTTCACCCTCAGTGACCTCTACAGCATCGACCTACACAAGATGGAAGAATGGAAGGTGCTAGTGGAGATGGATCCAAGTAAGCTCTAATGGTGGGATCGATCTCTCTGCCTTTAGTGTAGCAACAGTACACTAGGGGAAAAAAACCCCAACAGCTACGGAGCTTCCTCAAGGGGTGGGGATGAGTCTTCAAGCAGTGTTTTTTCCTGGACAGGAAAAAGCATGGGAGTATGTGATATGTAGTGTCTTACGATCACTGTTGCTGCAGAAACTTGTCTGGTCCAGAGCTTTGCGATCACTGTAGAGAGTGAGCTCTGGTCTGTCTACTTTGAAAACCAAGACAGGTACCTGGAGCATCTTTGTTCACTGGTGGCAAGTTCTGGCCTGGGAAGTCCTGCTGTGCCATGTTTGTCCACTCAGCAGAGGACAGGGATGTATGCTCTTGCCTGTCCTCACCTTCTCAGGGCAGTGAGGGTCTTGGGTACTGCAAAGCACGGGGGCTTTAGCTAGGGTTATCTCTTTGTACCTTAAACATGTAGTATGTTTGCTGTGTACTCCGAATACCCTGCTGGGCTGTTCTCAAGCTGGGAAGGCCGGCTCAGGGTCTGTGGCAAGCACAGAAGTCAGTTCCTGAATTCCTGGCTACATGGTCATTACATGAGTGTTCAGTAGTGTTGCAGAAAGCATTACCTGAGAGACCTCAATGAAGATAGATTTGACGGATTTTTCTACTGTTTATTGAAAGAAAATGGGGATCTGTCTTACAGCAACATATCTCTTACAGTAGTGGCTAAGTGATTCAGCCCAGGTCATGTGCTAGGCACTGTAGAGAGACATGAAAAGAGGGTGCCCCTGCCCTGGAAGCTCACAGTCTGCATGTGCATAATGGGCAAAGGGTGGAAAGGAAGGAGTCTTGCTCGTGATCACAGAACCATGAAGTGCTAGGGAGAGGAGGTGACTCGTCAGCATGGGCACTAACCAGCTTTTCTTCCACAGCTGTTCTGTGCTGTTCACGTCTTCCTGACTCTCTTTCATCTCTTCCCACTGCTCCCTATTAGAGCCAGGCCCTGTACAGTGGGTGGATCTGCAAGGGCAATGAATACAGCAGGGCTCTTAAGGAGCACATCTGTCTGACCTTGCCTTGGCATCTTTCATGACAGTTCTGGGTGTAGGAGTAGGAAAAGCTTGTTATTTATTTCTTCTATTTTTTTTCTTATCAAAGAAGCACAAGAATGGCTGGAAGAGTCGGAGTCGGATGAAGAGGATGATGATATGGAAGGTGCAGAGGGAGGGGAAGAGGAAGAGGAGAGCTCTGAAGAGGAGAGTGAAGATGAGGAAGGTAATGATTAAGATGAATGTTGTCTTCATGCTAATATAAAGTGGGGTTTAGTAAAATACCTGCTGGTTTTGCTGCCAGCCTGGAAGGCCTCACTGGCATCCAGGTGAGTTTTCCAGCGAAAGCAAAGTTTTCATACTACACTGCTCTCAGGGTAGAATAGAAATTTCCTGAGTTACTGATGAGTTTTTAGGCTATTGCATGTAAACACATTAGCTGAAGAGTAGTCTTGGCCGGGTTGATGCATGGAAGAGCAGATTGCCTTCATTAGCTGCTTGTGACCTCTCTTTCTGTCTTCCTTCCATTGTGTAGGAGAGGAGCAACACCCATCTGTTCAGCCTGATGAGAAGCATGCAGACTATCTGTCCAGGACGGAGCAGTATTGGATTAAACTAGCCCGCAGCAACATGGGCCCGGATGCCAAGGAGAAGAAGGTGGTAAAAGTGGCACATGCCATGGCAAAGACTTTCTATGAAGATTCGGTCTAGGTGTTGTTGAGGCTGTTCTGTGAGTGAAGAGACATGCTGGGAGCAGTGGTTAGCTCCATTGAACTCAGCCTGATGTGCCAGGAAGTCAGCGTGTCCAGAGTGCGTCCTGGCATTCCAGCTTTTGCCTATTCTGTGAGTGCTTCTGGGCTGACCAGTCTCAACATGCCTACTTGATTAGTGCTCTGGATATGCTGTTATTCCCCTGGAGGTTGTGGGAGGGTCTTGAGGAACAGGATTGCTGTCCAAGCACTTGTTCTGCAGAGGCTGGACTATACGGTACTGTCATATTTTTGTTCAAAAGTTGTTTTGAGTCTGTCAAGACAAACTGCACATCACAATGGTTCACTGGTCCCAAATTACCTACCCTGACTGGGGCCGGAACATGTCTCCAAGTGTTTCTGCAATAAACTTACTTCATTGCATCATCTTGGTTTTCTCAATTAAACCCTTCCTAGCTTTTCTCCTTCTTTTTCTCCTGCTGTGAAAGAGGGATCGCTGTTCCCGCTGTGAAATATGCAGGTAGTGGTCGTAAGATGCACCAGCAGCTCTGAGATGTGGCTGCACTGCCTGGAGAAACCTGGGAATCCTTTCATAACTTAGCTGTATGAGAGCCACTGTAACCCCTGATGCATGTAACAGTAGGAGTTTCTTCCTTTTTAATGTTAGCTGTAGCGGGTTTTGCCTTTGCTTGTGGAATCTCCCTGTTCAGTTTCTCACATGTTGGCCAAGAAAGCAGTTGTCCTACAAGTGAACTCTTTATGACCAGTGAAGTGTCCTACCATGAGACCTGATGGCGTGTTGAGGACAGGGGGGAGTGGACCGACACTCTCAAAGGCTTTTTTTTTTTTTTTACCCCTGCTTCCTGACTCAGCCCCTCTCTTCAAGGCATTGCTTTCTTTCCAGCAGAGCAGTGCTGTGGTCCATAGGGACAACAGATGGGATACAAGTGTGTCTGTTGCAGCAAACAAGTGATGACTTGTGTTGACACCAGAAGGCACTGGCTGTCCTTGTGCAGAGAAATTTCAGGGTGCCATGGGTATTGTTTTGGCAGGGGCATCACCAGGGAACCAGCTCTCAGGAGAGCAGTGCTAAGTTCTGCAAGGCTAATTAGAATGTAATAAAGATTAAATAGAGCAGGCTGCCAATGTGATTTAATTGTCAAGATAAAAACATGTTTGATAGGGAAGTACCTTCCATGCAAAATAACAGGCGAGAGGTGAAAACAAACCATGTATTGTTATCAACAGGAAAGAATCCGTAGTGCTTGCTTGGCTAATAGCATCGGTTGCCCTCTTGTCCTGTCACTTGGGTTAGTTTACAATACCTTGGTCTCGTTGACATTCGATCCTTTGTGTGTGTGTGACATCCGAGGCTTTTTGTGCAATGTTTTGGGGAATCTGCCACTGAGTTGCATTTGCAGATTTTGTTTTTATTATTGCTATTTATTTATTTATAGTTTGAAAAGTAGTGGTTTTAAAATCACAGCATCTGTGCACAGGACTCCATTCCAAACGCCCAACCAGACAGGGGAAACACCCTTTTTGCCAGGTGTACTTTATCATTTTTTGCCTTTTCAAATACAGATATACACCCTGAAGGAATTTTTTTCCCTCAGCTGAAGCCGGGTTGCAGCAGTGCCAAGGATGAAGGATAGTTTTGTACAGTGTTGCTGCAGCCGCAGGAAAAGATTCTCCCTCCTCCTTCGCTGCTAGAGAGACTTGTTGGATGAGGGAACTAGGTGCATCGGATGAGCTGGAGTGTGTGCAACAATAATCTGATGTTTCTCCTTTCACCTTTTCCTCAAGGGCTCTGGAACGTAGTCCTAGTTGTGCTCTGTGCCAAGCTAGGTATGACTGGAGAAGGCATAGACTGGAAGAGACACGCTTCCAAGGAACCTGTGAGTCAGGATGGGCCAACTGTCCTGCTCCTGCAAGCAGTACAGCAGCCTGTTTGTGTGGCCTCCCATGGGGAGCACGCCGCCTGCCTCGCAGAGCTGAGGGAGAGAGGGCTTTGGAGGTGGGTTGCAGGGGAGATGATGGCTTCCCAGGGCTATTATCGTTCTGCTGGGAGGTTGGGTTGACCTGGGCATTCAGCTTGGTTCAGTTCCTCCTGGAGCTGGGGTTTTGGATGAGCCAGCATAGGCTGCGGCTGATCATCTGGCTTGGTTCAGGAGGCTCTGGTGGCCATCCTTAGGTTGCATGATGAGAGGCTGCTGCCATGGCAAACTGTCCTGGCCTGAAAATTGAGGCTTGGTTGTCAGCTCTGACAAAATGAGGCTGTAGCACTGTAATTGGAACAGCCTGCACGGGGACTGAAACGCACACGGCGTCCATTCTCACTGGAGCATTTGCAGCCATTGGACTTGAGACAGAAATTAATTCTGGTGCATCTGCAGCCACTGCTCAGCAGAATGAACAAGACAAATGCAGCACTCTCTTGAGCCCTGCAGCCAGCAACAGCCAAAGATCTGTCTGGACACCCTGGCCCATCTCTTGCTGGTGTAACTGTGGAAGCCTTGGAAGCTGTCACGTGTTGGTTGAGCAAATGAAACCTCTGAGAAAAGGTAAAAGTTCTCTGTGGTGGAAACCCAAGCAGGGATGACTGATTACTACTACTATGTTAAGTGCTTGCAGAGGAGGTCTGAATGTGATGGGCTCTGCCGTGGTCTTAAGAAATGTAAACTGTGGTACTTTGATACCAAACTTTAACGGTACCTTGCTTCTCTGAGCATTGGCTGAAAGCCCACTGAAGCCTGTTCAGGGTTGCTGGATCAGATCTCTGGTCATTTTTCTTGCATTGGGTCCAAAAGTATCTTAAAGAGGAAGGTAAGTATTTTGCAGGCAGACACACATCAGTGAAACAGCTTGCCTAAAATGATACCTAAGAGAAGGGCCAGGGCTAGAACTTGGTGAAACTAGGAAAACTAGGAGAAATTCCAGAAACTGGGAACTGAGAAATTCCAGCACTGTCGGTCATAAGGGTACTTATTCCTGTCTGACATGTACAAAGAACAGCTTGTCCTTTTGTTAATGTATGTATGCCCAGATAAAATTCAATTATTCCTTTGGCATCCATCACACCATTGCTTTTGCCCATCTCATTGTAAAGGGATGAATGTATAAACATTTACATAGGAGAAAGAGACCTCAGTTTATTATTATATCTGGAAACAATCAAGCTGTTGGTGTTGTTTTCAGCTAAAAGACAAGGCCAAATAACTTTTTTTTTTTTTTTTAAACTGACTCCTTGAGGAAAATTTATTCAGTAATCCCCTTTCTTTGGGCCACACACACACTGTAATTGCACTGTAAGCAACACAGTGAAATTGGATTTTTCTGTTATGTTTACATGCACAGCTAGGAAGGGAGAAAGTGAGTAAAGGAGAGTGCCAGCTGAAATACATTTGACTTCAGGGGTTGCACAAAAAAGGCCACAGCAGAAGGTTAGTGGTTTCATGTCTAACTCAAGCTTAGCTTGTAACACATGGGATTGTTTCTCCCTCACATCAGCGTGTGTGTTGCAGTGTAACGAGCAAGGAAGCTCGTGACTTGCTGTGGAGTTTTATCAGAGAGCAATCGGGGTAATTGGGCTGACCCAAAGATAAATGCTGTTTGTAGATGGAAAGACCGTCCCTGGCACCTCTGCTCATGGGATTTTACTAATAGCGAAGACTTGGTTCAGTCATGCTGAGTTGCTCGTCTCCTCACAGCGCTGCCTACCTGCTGTGGTGGCTTATGGAGATAAACCAGTCCTAAACTCTTCTGCTGGCAAATTGCTTGTTTGTCAGGCTTGTCGTCCTCTGCACACGCTGGGCTGATCTCATCCTTCCTCATTTGTCTTGGAGAGAATCTGGGTTCATTCATCGTCTGTTCTGTATTGGCAAAACTTCTGCTTTCTTGCTCCAGCAATACCATGGGTGGGTCCAACCAGTACTAAACGGCCCTGAGCACATTGTGTCTGTCAGCAAGACAGAAAGGCTAAAGACACACATGTTCTTACAAATGTAGGTCTCTGAAGGATGGGGGGGTGGGAATGGGAGCGTATCAAATGCTTCAGCTTCTGCTGGGAAACAGCTGCTGGCTCAACAGCTGTAGCATCCTTCGTCACTAACTCACAGTGACTTAACGTTACAGACAAACGAGAAGAGAGCTTTGAAACGTGCTCCACCTTGAAGGGACTGGGGAGCAGTGCTCCTGCTGCTTGCAGGAGTAATTCTTGCAGCTCTCCCTTCCAACAAGACTGAACACCTGATAGCAAAATGCAGCGCTGCTGGGGCGGGGGTGGCTGCTCTTATGGAGGAGGGAAGGGGTTGGATGTTAAAACAAGCGAGCCTGTAAGAGAGCCTGAACCTTGCTAGACTATCAATGCTGTTAATAGTGTACCCAAATTGGGGATAAAAGGAAATAGGCAGATGGTAAGGATTGCGAGTCTACCAGGTAGCAGTGTAGTTGAGCAAGTAGCACCTGTGCATGAATGTGAGTCTCTAAACACATCTAGACACCTCCAGATGGGGAATGCGCAATCCACCACAGCATTTCTAAGCCATCCATTCAACAAAAGCTTCTGGGCAACACTCAGCATCTCTCAACTTCTAGAAAGCGAAGTTTCCTTTAACTTTATGGAGCATGACCTCTGAGATGCTTTGAGTGAAGAGACAGCTCATGATGTATCCAAGTTACATATTCAGACCTTCGGGCACTGATTAGTAGCCGTGGGGGTTCATTGCCTGTTGAAACGTAATGAGGTGATTATGCATACGCAGGAAAAACAGGTTGGTGGTAGTGCTGAAGCTGAGTGCCTGTGGGTTAATATTAGTTGAAACAAACCAATAAAAGGAACTTGAGAGCTTGAAATGCCTCTGAGGGAAGCATAGTCCTGGTAGATCTGTTACTCAAAGGCACATTATCCAGTGTTTGCTGTGCTCAGGGTTGTCTTCAGTGGAGAGCTGGTCAAGGAGCCTGGCTGTGAAGGTCAGTGATAGGCCACAACAGAAGTGATGCAGTTCATTTAGGGGCTGTGTGAGGAGTTAACCAGTTTCCCCACACCAGGAAAACTTGCCACCATATCAAGATCCTGCAAGGCCCATCTTCTGTGCAGACAATTTACCCGTGCGCAGCAAAGCTGTGCAGCATGGGCAGGAGATCCAGGCCGGCCTCTGCTCTGTTCTGCTTTCGCACAAATCTCTGAAGTCAACCTCACCCTATGACAGTTTTAAAAAATTCCTACTTTTCCATCCTCCCTTAACTTGGCAAAGCCTGTTAGGACATGTAATTAGTCCTTGGGTTTCAGTTAAGACCATCATGGATATGACATTATTTCTTCTCTTGCCCCTCCCCTTCTGTTGCAGTCTGGATATTTTTTTTTTCCAGCAGTACTTCATAACTCCACACAAGGCAAATAGAAGCTGCAACAGCTCAGTATCTGTGAAAGATCAGGCCCTGGAGAGTCCCAATGCTCTCGGAGAATCTAGGTCTCGGGTACAAGCAAACCAGACGCCAGATGGGCTGGTGAGAAGCTGACGTGGCACGAGCAGGCGGAGGATTTTTCGTATTCCTTCCTTCTTGCCTTCTCCAAAGATGTGGTGTTGAACCAGCCCATCGCTCGCACAGGTGGGGGCTGGCCAGAGGACCTGGGTGTCCCCAGGGAGGGACAGGTCCCCCTTTTCCCAATGGCTTTGCTGCGATGGCAGGAGGTGGGCTGGTTCCTTGAGCCCCAACCCCTCCTTGTGTTTCAGGTGCTGCTTGTTCTGCTGTAGGAACGTAATACCATCACAGCCTAAAAAAAATTACATAAACCTTCAGCTGTTCACATGCATCTGTCAGTGTGGACATAAAACAGCAGGTATGGACAATTTACACAGATTTATATGCCATGATGATAGACATTTTAATGTGCTTTAGGTAGATATGCATGAATCCAGGGCTCATAAGGCAGGGAAATATACTGAATTACCTCTCTCTCTGGGCTACTTCTCAAGACTATTTCTGGCCTTGGGCAAATGTGAAAAGCCCAGAACTAAGACAAATTGCTCAGTTCCCTGTGATTAATAAAGGAATCATTATTTTTAAACACGTGGTTTGGGAGCCAGTGAATATTAGTCTTCGGCTATCTTTCATACTGAACAAACCTCACCTCGACTGAGGTTTTATCCCATGGAACAAAGAGATGAAAAATCGGAGCTGCATTTGTGTTTGTACATAATTGCTGGTACATGGGCAAGAGCAGGAATAACTAGTCGGTCACCAGTGTGAAAAAGCTAGTCATGAAATCACTAGGACTTTTATTTGATGGATAACAAGAGGCATTTTTGTGCTGTTTTATATATATCTAAATATCTTACTGTGTTTGCATGTAAGTGTTTAAGCTGCTTCTGGCAGGACCTTTGTGTCATGCACTTGAACGTACAAAAACGTCCTCAAGAGTCTTTACAAAGAGTTGCAACCAGGATTACAAAACACATGGATGAGTTCCTAGGGCTGCAATCACAATCTGGTATTATTTGGTTCGTTTCAAGTATGCAGCAAGCATTCAAGAGTAAAAAAGATGACTAAGGACCCAGAAGTTAAAAACGGAAGAAAAAAAAAAAGGAAAAGGTACAAAGACGATGGACAGTTACTGTGGAAAATGAAATTAAAAAGCTACTGGGGGTCTTGCTGTCTTCAGTTATCATTTACCCTGTCCACCCATAGCCTTCTGCCTGAAAAGGGAAAGGAAGAAAAAGGAAGAAAAACTGCAACAGGAGGGAATAAGACCATGTAAGGAAAAGAACTGAATTTAACTGGCACATGCTCTAATCCTTAGTTTATTTCTGGTTAAAAATATAGCAATCCAGTGCAGTGTAATAAGAAATCTGCTGAAAAGGTAGCAGAGAAACAGCTAAAACAGAAGCAAAGCAAAGCTGAGTCCACAAGTCAGGGCTGTACCCAACAACTCTGGATGTGAAATGTCGAGGAAGAATTTTTTTTCCCTCCTCCCCCCCTCTGCCCCCAAATATATCTGTATATGGGTTTCATCCCACCCTCGGGTTGCTGCCACACTTGCATCCCTTCTCCTGTTGAATGGAGCTGCAGTGGGTAGAACTGAGGGTGAAATTTGGTCCCTGGATGTACCAAATCCCAGACAAACCATTTGAACCGTACCTGGTGCTGGTGGATCACCGGCAAAGCCGATCTCCATGGCGGGGAAAGACGGCGTGGGGAGGGGAGGAAACAGTACAGTCATTTTTGAAAAGCGAGGGGATGTCGGCCACTTCCAAGCAATTGAGCTAAGACCACACTCTTGTGATTGGGACCATAACAGCTTAGAACAGGGATACGGCATCTTTAATGAGTATGCATATTATCAGTGGGGACAGGGGAGGGGAGAAAATCAAGGCAGGCATATTACAAAGATGGTATAAACGAACAAATTAAGTGACATAGAAAAAAAAAAAAGAAAATAATACATCCTTAGAGGCTGCCATTGCCAATGATGTTTGGTTTTTTGTTTTTCTTTTTTTTTTTCTTTTTTTTTTTTTTTTTTTACAGGGACATGTTGGAAGCTGGAATATACATCCTGCATTACAAAGTGCAAAATACTACATGCTCAGAGCCCAAGCATGATGTCTGAAACAGTCCACAGCAAGATGTAAGAGACAAACCCACCACCCTCTCCCTCCTCTCTGGGACATGCTCCAGTACTCCTCCCCAGATGCCTTTGAAAAACAGTTTTATCTTATTTTGCTTTATTTTGTTTTATTGTTATCCTAAGTGGATCAGAGTTGAGCCCTCTCTGCCCGATCCCTCCCCACCAGTCTGCTCCCTGGCATCTCTGTCCATGCACATGTTTGGGATGGGATGCCCAAGTAACGCTGCTCGTCGTGTGTTGGCGAGCACGGCACAATGACCAGCAGCTATTCAATTCATGTTGCTGAAGGTGCCTGCAAGTTTTTGGGGGGAATACAGGTACACATTTTTACCCAGGAGAAATTGTCTGTGAATTAAAAGTAGCACTGGGTGGTTTTCCAGCCTTGCCATGGGTCGGGAGCAGCCTGGGGAGGAGGAGTGAAGGCAGGAGGGTGGTGGGGCTGCTGCTCACACCTTGTGTTCCCTATTTCCCCCCCTGCCCCAAGAAATTTAGCAAAACACCAATTGCTGCTTTGTTTTAAAAACAAATAACAAAATGGGGCCCGTTGCCCTTCTCCCATCTTTCACGTCTTAGACAGGGTTCATGCCTTCCCCGTGCTCCTTCTCCTCCTTCTTACAGCAACGTTTCTCCATTTGTGAAGGGAGAAGGAAGAAAAGCCTGATTTTGCTTTTCTCTCCCATTTACTTTATCATTAAAGCTGTTGTGGATTTTCCCTGGGAAACTCGGCCTGGAGCATCCCAGGACGCGTACATACTTCAGACAAACTCTCCCCATGGTGCCCTCATCTAGTCTCCATTTTGGGGTTCATTACTGTTGTTATGAATATATTTTTGGAGGGTGAGGGGAAGGGAAATGAGGTTTTATTTTGTTGGGATTCCTTCTCATCCTTTCCAGTGTTGGGGGGGCAGAGTGTTGATAGCATTTTGCCATGCCACACAGCATAGTGTTATACAAGCAAAGAATTTTGGCTAAAATCCAAAAAACATTACCCAGGAAAAAAGGCAAACTGTGAGTGAGACTCAATCGTTTGTTGTTCTTCTGTGAAAAGACTTGGAAATTGTCATAGGACAGTTCGAGTTATGATTTTTCCCTTTTTGTTGTTGTTGTTTGGGTTTTTTTTTCCCCCATTCATACATGTAACTGTTATTTTTGCAAACAAGACAGTCTTGAATTAGATGAAAAAGTTAATAAACAAAATGGCGACTCCAATATTTAGTAAGATCACCATGACTACCAGGATGGGAGCCGAGCCCTGGAAGAGAAAGAGAAGGAGAGGAGTTAGAACGCGCATTGAAAGTCTGTCTAAGTTTGCCTTGCAGCAGGGGTCGGGCACTGCGCTGGGTCTGGGATATTGCCGGGCAGGCAGGGCTGCAGACGAGCTGATTTACACCCTCCAGCAAACGATCCCAAAGCTCTTGGTAACCCTCACTGAATTTTTGCAGGCTGCTGCCGTAGTGAGGAAGGCGTGAATAAAGATCTTCCCCTTAGAGGTGAGCAAACAGCAGAAGCAGGGACTAAACCCAGATCTATTGCCTCCATCCCTGTGACAATAAACAGGTCACCCCTAGCTCTTTCGTCTAAGCACAATGTCGTCCTAAGGCAGCCCTCCGATTCTGCAAAAGCAGATACAAATGGCACGTAAGTCCCAATGCGAGCCCTGGACCCAATGTCTGCCAAGCAAAGACCTGGACGCACACCCGCCGGACCCACCGATTAAGACAGCAGTTGCACATGGACTCCCCCATGTCGTGTATATAGGAAATCTGGCCTTAAAAGAGTAACTAAAATCGGTTGCTTAGCCGGGGTGGTCAAAGAAAAGGGGGGAAAAAAAAAAAAAGAAAAAGATTGTATTGGATCATATAGTTGTTTGGGGATGGTTTGGAGGAGTCTTCAAAGGAGATTTCCCAATAAACATGATTGCTTGTACAGTTATCCCGACAACAGCAAAAGTCAGGCCAGCATACGGTGGTCTGTGTTAAGGCAACATTTTTGGAAAGCTCTAATAACCTTTCCTGAGGTTTATATGGACCAAATTAAGCTCTGGGGACTATGTGGAAACTACTGCAGCAACTCACTTCGCAGCTGGCCCGTGTCAGACACCCACCGTAGGCTGGATTGAAGCACTCCCCAGAAGCATCCACTACTTTCCACCGAGCATAAAGGCAGCCCGCACAACTCATGTTGGAGCTGATGAGGTTGGGGCTGTTGGACCCTATTAGCATCCCAGGAATGCTGGGAAGAAGACCACTCAACGTCAGGACTGCAGACGAGCCTCCAACGCATCTTTCTGCAGAACACCGGTCAGAAAAACATCCACCCTGCCACCTCGTCCCTGCCATAAAACATTTGCTGTCCTAAAGTGTTAACGTGGCTGGCATCAGGGTGAGCAAGCGTGTGTGCAGGTAGGTGGTAGCTATTTCCCGGCGTAGCTGGTATCCTCGTCTATTCTTGCTGCAACGGAGCCGTGCCAGCTTTAATCGCCTGGAATGGTACAAATGCTTTTTCTCTACGCTCCTGTCCTCGTAACAAAGCTGTTGGGTTGGCATGGGGCAGGGGTGCGTGCCCTTTCTAAGCAAGTCCTTGTACCGCTCTGCTGAGCTGCTGGGAAGAAAAGTAAAAAAAAAAAAAAAAAGAAAAAGCTCCTTGCTGGCCAGAGATTGTTTCTCTTCTGAGCAGGCTGATTCAGTTCGCATTTGGGAGTGGGTGGGAGCGAGGATGCTGGATCTTGCTGGAAAGGCATATTTGTAGCTTAGCAACAGGGTCAAAGGAAGCCAACCAAATGGAGGGATTGCGGAGAGCCTCTCCTGGCAGCCAGGTATCCACGCCTGACTGCTTCCAGCAAATCTCTCCGCCTGCACCACGCAAAGCCTTTCAAAGGCAGAAACCACCCCCCTGTTGCCACTCCTCCCCCCCCTCCCCGGCCCTGCCGCTGCCAAGGACTGCGTTGCGGTGTGTTATTTACATTTGGGGGGGTTTAGCTTCATTTCAGAAGATTATTGGGTTTTACGATTTTTGAGCTCGTGTTAATATAATAACAGATTGCGAGTGATTATCACTGTCATTGTTTCTGTTGGCAGGGCACCGCAGAGACACAAAATGCATTTGGTTCCCTCCACCTCGCAGCCAGGGGAGGACTGAACTGCTCGCTCTCGCACTTCCATTAGCCTTGGTCCACTCGCCGTTTGATTTCCCTTGCCAAAGAAGCGGCGACCATTTCTGCCCCTGCTCTGCTCAGACTACTAGATCGTTTCAACACCATGAAGGAAATAAAGTTGTATACCAGCGGACGTGAGCCCAAGATAATCTGGAGGATGCTTTCTCTTCCCTGACAAAAGGCACAGAGCAGGACTGGCTGCTTCTTAATTCCCTGGTGTTTTGAGCTTTACCCTCGCAAACATGGACACTTTGGGCTGGACCTGCTGGACGGACCGACATCGCAACACTTCGGTACTTGTGTTCAGAGGATGCTGAGGGGATGGTGTCCAAGGGAGGGAGCACACCCTTCATTTATACACCAGTACATCAAAGTCATGCCCTCACCTAGAAAAATGGGGGGAGTCAACAAACTAAGCAACGTGCACCTACCCACTTACATCGGCAGCAACTGGATTCCCGTGCACGAATGTTTTGCTCAGCTCCCTGGTTCAGTCTGCACCTATTTGCATCCTGCATCCCCTCTTCAATATTCAGGCAAGAGAAAATGCTTGCTTTGCCACCGCATATGCGGGGTCTTCCACATTTGCCAGCAAAAGCATCCCAGAAATAGGATGATCGGGGAGGGGAGGGGGTCTCTGCAAACTGAACAGCTCAAATCCGACTGTCTGACAACCTCCGAATTCTGCTTCCTTTTTACAGTTCCCTCTTCTTAACACCCTCTTCCCCGTGCTAACTCCAACAAGGGCTCTCCACGCAGCAGTCACAGGTACGGCTGCTCCCCCCCGGTGAGACGCCGGCGTATCTTGGCAGGGGCTGGAGTCCTGCCTGTGGCAGCTGGTGGATAAGCAGCTTTGCGACTCTGAAGCTTCTGTTTTAGCTCCAATTATGAATCCTGCTGCACTTCTAAATGCTTATGTCTGGCTTATTTCTAACTTGTAAGGTCTTTGTGCCTTAACCTCTGCTCAGAGGAAGCGCTTGCCCTTCTCCCCTTTGATGGCAAGGATGTCCTGGGATATGTGTCATCTCTTCCTAAGAAGCGACTCCTGCTCGGTGCCCAGGCAGAAGATGAATCACTGCTGGGTTTGTGCTTTGGAAGAGATGTTTTGCTGAGCCCAGCCTGGCAATAGGTCAGTGAACTCCCTTTTACTGCAGCTACAGCCAGCATTTTAGAACTAGCAGCTTTTCTTCACGCCACATGCTAGCCCTCCAACGTGAGCCACCCACTTCTAGAAAGAAGAGGCATAGCCCTTGATTTGCAACTTTGCATATTGCTTTAATACTTTGGTGGTGCTTTATCTCATCTTTGGCCTCCTTGAGACTTAGAGAAGCCCAAAGAAATCCCCGAGGCCAGCGGTGTCGCAGGCTCTGGGGTGCTACAAAGCCAGAGGTCGAGCTGATTTTCTGAGCCTGGGGTTTGTGTGTCAAAGACAGCAAGCAACCTGCAAAGCTTTTCTTTTTTATCTTTTTTTTTTAAAAAAAAAAAAAAAAAAGCTACAACACTCTCTTTAGCCCTGAAATAGTAGTGCTAAAGCAGGCCGTCAGGAACTGCAGAGATTTGTTTAAACTACCCTGCCTGTCATTCAGGAGACGGGGCTCCGCTGCGAAACGCTGTGCTGCCTCCCAGCACAGTGCCCGCAAGTCCAGAACCTGCTTTACTGGGAAGCAGATGCCAGTTGGCAGCGTCCTCTCACCCAATTTTAGCTGTCTAAATGTTAGACATCTAGTCTGTGCTAACCATCTAGGCTGTCTGTAGACCAAGTGACGTGAGATGAATTCCACCCGGAATGGTTACCAGCCTGGCTCCAGGAAAGGAAGAATTAAATCAAGCTCTGGTGCGCCTCAGCATCATCCAGCACACTGGGTGATGGCAAATTTCATCAGCAAAACAAGGCAGCTCTGGGGCTGGGATTTTTTATTTTTATTTTTTATAATAAGATCCCTGGACTCCTTCACAGGAGGAGGAAAACATCTGCCAAGGAAGGGCAATGTACACCAGTACCAGCTAGGCGAAAGGGTCCTTCTGTATCAACAGGGATAGTCTCCAAGGACTTTTAAGGTTTCCTCCAAAGTTTAGAGAGCTGGAACATAGACCCAAACCCACGGAAACACTAAAATGTGAATAAACTCTTGTTACGGCACAGGAGTAATAATAGTAATCGTAGCTGTAGAAGTAATGAGTGAAGGTTTCTTCCAGTCTGTGGTTTTTGGGCACCCACCAGCTCTGATGGTGGCTGCAGCCGAGCACCACCATTTCTGCCCCTCTGTCCTGTTTGGTTTTATCCTTTAACTGTTGTGTAGCAACTCAGGAGTCTTACTGGGAATACAAGGGACAGCTGGTTTACAAATACAATTGTAGCATAATTAATTTAAGCATTAACAATCCATTATTATCTGTTATCGCAAGGTACAAGCTCTGCCTCTCTGCCATGGAAACCATAGTGAAGGTTACCTAGGAATCCCTCTGGGATCTATTAAGTGTAATTACTAAGGACTTGGATCAGCAAAAAATATATATGCATTGTTTTCCAGTCTCAGCATTGCGGAAAGTGCTGAAAACTTAGCAGCTCCGTGACATTTGTGCTGACTTGTCACATAATTGCCAGGAACAGGCTGTTGTGAAACGGTTAAGGAGCATTTAGCAAAAGAAACATAAGGGATTCACTTTGCTTTCTCCAGCGTTATTACAGCATCTCCCGTGACTCGAGGAAGGGAGCCCAGGAGATGCTGAATGTGCCCATGTAAGAGGCACGGGCGCTTGATACCAGTGTGCAACTGAGTGGGGTGGTATGGAAAACCTGCTTCTGCAGAAAAAGGTGGCTAAAGTGAATGTGAGGATTTATCCCAAGATGGTGTCTCTTAATGAACTGTTTTGTCACCTCTGGTTCAGTCCTCTCGGTACAGGTGCCTGCGTAGCCGGGTTGAGCTGTATGTTTGGCACTGTATGTATGTTTTTAAGATTTTTGGTTCTTGTGCGGTCAAAAGCTGGCATTTCACCCCAACATTTCAAAGCTAGAAGATGTGGAGCTGGGCCCAAAACCCTAAAATGAATCCTGGATGACAGGAGCAAAGTCAGCGAGGTGCTGTCTTCAGGTACAT